GGGTCTCGAAACAAAGTCGAACGTGTAGGGGTTTGTTAAGCCGGTCTCATTTGTAGAATGCAGCATATTAATTATAACCAAGCGAGAGGGGAAAGAAAACAAAATGAAACGCCGCAACTGATCGATATTACTACACAACGTCGCAAAACTTGGTGTGCAAAAGTAAAAGAAACGCGTGCGAAATATAATTAGGAGTGCAGATCGTCATGCACGTTGGAATATAATTATGTATTTTCGTACGGTGGAAATATTGCTGCTCGAAAATGGATTTTATAATTGAAGTTTCATACAACTTTGTACCCTTTGTTTCAAACTTCCTGAATATGAAATTATTTGAGCGCATAGTTTTCAATGGCTCGTTCTACATAGAATTTTAATATAGTTAGGACAAAAAGTAACCCTTCGTTTTTATTGAAATGTTATTTTACATAATTGAAGTTGGTGCATACGATTTTTATAGTGCATCTTTCTTTCCGTAAATGCTGCAACCAATAATTTTTTTATAGTAATAACAGTCGAATATAATTGATTTTACAGGGTTCAAGAAACGGATGGTTCCTTCTTCGAAAGTTTCACCGCATTATCTTGGAAACAACAGAATCGAAGACTCGTGGTCCTTCAAGAATTGGAGGCTAGATCGAAGGAACCTCCGCCACCGTCCAGCGACCACAGTTTGACTTCATCTCATTACGGTTTCACTAATAAAGAGGTAAGCGAACGTATGACACTTTGACTAACGAACGAATTTAAAAAGAATTAAACGAAATCAAAGTAACTTAAAACTCATTCTATAATTCGAATTTTGTTATTCAGTTGTTACTTAACTTTGTGACGTTGTAGTAATTTTTCAAATGAAACCAGTTAAAAATTCAAATTGCTGCTGTGATTCTTCTCTAATTTCATTTTTATAACAATGTAAACAACTTCGTGCAGGATCGGCCTCAAAATATTCTGAACATCTTGAAATTTGCGAATATGTTTTTGTTTTCCTTAAAATTACAATTTAATAAAATATAAAACAGATTTAATAAAAAATATTGCCATTTCTCCATGACGAGTATACTCGTCGAGCACAGCTAACTGGTTCAAAGCATTTTTGTCTCTGTTTTTAATTTTTACCGCGCGGGCGAGGCGTTTTTGCGTTCATTATGTTCGCCGTGAGAACGTTCATTAGTATCAGCGTTAAATTTCACGCGAGCATATTACTTGGTTCATGCAACACCACATTTTGTCATTCGGCGGGACGCGTACGTTATTTCATCGTAGATTGCATGTGGTTTGGTAGTTGCGTTTCACTTGAAATATTATGTGCGCGGGTCAGTGGGACTGGTGGCACGTTTCAATCGAAATAATAGACGCTCTAATGATTCCGCCTGTTCAACGTTCATTCAATTACGAACTCTGAGAACTAGTGATTTCGAGATTGCCAGAGGTGAACGAGAGGGCTGCCGGATTAAAATAGTACACGATGTTTGTTGCTTTTTGTTCGCACTAGCCGATTTCACTGTTTTATTATTTCACAATAACAGTAAACATGAATGTATGATTATAAGTACAGGATAAAATTTTCGGAAATGCGCGTATATAAATTCATACGTTTCATTATTTATTTTCATATTTGGAGTACCATGGAAGACAAAACATTCTTCCAAAACATCGATCTTACTTTTTGAAGAATTTATTTGTGCGAAAATCAATTTAGTTGAAACGATATTTTTAATATCTTGCGATTAATTCTCGACCTTTCCGACAAAATTTCATAAAACCGAGATCTCTTCTCCTCCTTTCATTTCATTCAACAAAAACGCTCCAGCTAATTCTCAACTTATTTAACCCTCAAGAACCTTCGCTGCTTAGACTTACGGCAGGCTTTATATTTTCAAACAATTGTTTTGGGGAAAATAATGGACCGAAATAATAGGGCATACGTCTACCTACTGCGAGGTCGCAAACTCTACTGAGATTACATGGCACCCGAATGACAAAGCAGCAATAGTGTCGGAGTTATGAATACAAATTATTACGCGTAGGGTATATAACCTTGAGGGCTAAGTTCCAATTCTCACCGTGTAACAAACGCTACTTTGTGCCTTGTTGGTGACGTGGCGGTTAACGAGGGAACGATAATAATCTGACTCTTAAGTCTGACAAAACCCGGCTCACGAAAATACATTCATTGTTAGATCGATTTTTACAGCTCGTCTACGATCGTGCCAACAATTTATTACGACAAGATATTATTTAATTGTTCCGATCCAATTAGATTGTAAAAATGTATTTATGACGAGAGAATATCCTTAATTCTTTTTGGCAAGGAAATGAAGTTAAACAAGTGCATACGACAACTATGCTTCAGAGTCTTATTTCAATTTTAGTTTACACTTAATTAAGAATCGTACAATCGAAGTTAAATGAAATTTCATTTCATTCGTCAATTCCAGCTTCAACGAAACACTGTGAAATATTCATAGATTTCATTTGATTTCATAACCTATATTTCACATTCCTATTTTATTTTTGGCAAAGATTTGTATAAATTATAAAGGTCCAGCAAATCGTAGTTCCATCAGCCATTTTCAAGTTAATTGGTATGGTTGGTTTTTTCGCTAATAGAAACTTGAGATACACCGATAGTGACAAAGGCTATCCAGCCTTTACTGATATCTACAAGTTACAAGCCCTGGTATAATTAGAGTGCAGTGGATTGCTATCATGAGAATTGCAGTATCTCGGGTTTCTCTTTTAAAGAACTAATTGCAGCCAAGAAAAGAATGAATATCGAGATAAGAACAGAAGTTTGTAGCATATGAAAAATGATAAGATACATCGTAACATGCGCAATCAAATTAATGGCGCGTTAATATTAATATTAACGCTGACACAAGCGATCTTACATTTTTACGAAACAACCTGCGCAAATTGAAAATTACACAAAAGTTCTCAGCTTACCGGCGACACTTTTATTTTGCGAATACGAAGCGCCCTATTATATTCGTGTTTTACAATTCTGAGTTAAGAACAATTCCATTTGCACAAAAGGGTTTCATTATTCACGGAAGGAACTTAATCTTTTTCATTGCACAAGAAGACTAAACGGAGAGCACTTTATAATACTCTCCTATAATACTTCTATAATACTCTTCTTATAATCTGTTCATTAATATCCTGTTCGTACAATTTCGCATCTTTTGTCCGAGCTTCTTCCCCTGGAGGGACTATCGGGATTCTTCCTTTTTTCTCTGCTTGCTAACGAAGCAACAATGCGAACCCGTTCCGCTCATTATTTCGGCTGAAATCATGTTACGCTGTCCTATACGCCTTGTCAAACGAACGATACCATGGGAAAAAAACGAAGGAAATTATGCGAAGGAAATGCAGAGATTGAAACGGGGGACAGCTTCGATGGTGCGGAACAGTTCAATTATCCCTATTTGTCACAATTCCCCTATCTCCGGCAGCAAGCTGTTGCCCGGAACAGAACACCCGGTTCGAGAGACACGTACATTTTTAGAAAATCAAGCTCTTCGTTACTTCCTATTCAAATCCTACTCTCATTCTCACCCAGCCTCCTATTATTCTATACCGATTGTTGCAAGCACACCGAAGTAACATTATTTGAAATAACATTGTCAAATAATATTGTCTCTAATAATATTATTTCGCATGATATTATTTCGAATGATATCGAGGTTACAAATATATTATAAAAATGCACGCGCCATTAATATTGTTCTTAAACGTCGATACAAGTTTACAATGACAGTGCATGCTATTAGCCAGGCTTGGGCACATTTTATTTGAAACGGGAATAAGAATGTTTCGATTCAAATGCTGTTACTTAAAAGAATGAGTTATTTCGTTATTTTTAAATAACGATGAATTAATATAACCTTAACAATGAATCTGCGACCTTGACATCTTGTTCTTTATCGTTAAATAAATTGCCAACTTCTCGTCCGAATATACAATATGATTTAAAAGAAAGGCTAACAATTAGTAAAAAAAAAAAAAACGTGCCGTCATTTTTTAATAACGCACGAGAGAATACTATTTTTCATTGTTTCCCTATTGAGTAAAGGCACTGTGTGCTACTTTAATTGGAATGCTAAATGGAAAAAAAGTAAAAGTCGATATCTCGTTCGACCGGAATAAAGTTATGAACAATACACTCTCTTGACGCATTAAACTTTCGAAAGCTCAACTTTCAGTAGCACGGTCCGTTCACATTCAAATGACTACCAACATATGAAACTCTAGCCTGTATTTCATGTATTGTTAAGTTCATACGTTTTTTGCACCAATCCTGGTCGACCGTCATTAATTTTATCTTAATTCCAGCTGAGCTGGTCCGCATTTTCCGCGCGGTCTCCGTTTTTTATCATTTTTTCCCAATGTTACTTGCGGATGTGGAACGAAAATATCAGTAAGAGGAGAAAGAAATTCACCCGGAAATACAGACTCCCACTGCCGAGCAATTTTTGCATGTATGCTACGGTACAGAATTTAGTGAGGCATTTCTAATAGGGGCGCAACGATCACTGCTAAAAGAAAATTCTTCTGGAACAGAAAAGTCCAGCCACGTTCTCTATGGAAATGGCAGTTTGTTAATTTCTTTGCTGGAAATTTATCTGAAATTTCTGTAGCAAATTCTTTCTGTGCCAAACCTTCTCAAAACAAAAAAAAACAGAATTATACAAAATTGTTCAGAATCGATCATTTAGGGAGTTCAGTTTATTATCGATGAAAGGTTCAGATTCGGCCATCTAAATTTTCGGCTTTGTTATTTATGTTTTATCGCTGGTGAAATTATTCTTTCGGGACATATTTGGAGAAATTGTTTCGATGGAATGCAGAATATTTGATGCTATTGTAAGCAGTTGAAATGGAATTTCTCTCATCGATAAATATTATGAACAACTGAAACACAGAATTCCTTTTATTAACAATGACTATCGCCAATGAACAAAATCTCGGTAATTTATAATCGCTAACCAAAATTGTTCAGGATCAAAATTTGCTGATTATGTGATTTAATGAAAAATTCTACTCACATTTTGCGATTAATATTCTTCACTTAAATAATAAACAAATTGCTACTACCGACTTTGTCCGTAAAAACATTTTGGTTATTGTTGCTTCAGTTAATTACCACTTTTTTAATCGAATTAGAAATCCGTTTCATACAACGTTTCATACAACTATTTTTGTAATCAATGCTTAGTTATTTACTTCGAAATTAATCCATTTATATTTTAAATCATTACCAGGAACGTGTTCAATTAATTGTACCGATCGTATTTCTTATTTTCCTAAAATATATCGTGTTCGGTGGTTAATCGAGCATTTAAATATATTGTTTCAGTTGGAGCAGTTGTACATAGAAGTTCTCTACACGATTGCCAATACAGTGGGCGCCAACACAGGACAATATGCTCACTACAAGGAAGATCTTTATATGTACGCTCAAGAAGCTTTTAGAGTACCACAAGATCAACATCGTCGATATCTGAATATTGCTTCTGAGGAGAAGGTATTTGCCTTTAATATCCCTAACACATTGATACATTAAAGATGACGTTACCTACAGGTGATGTTCCCGATTATACAGTCTAACCAATTTTAAACGTTTCTCTTTCTCATCCTCGGCATTTTTAAAACAATTTGTTTTGTTTTCACTAAAAGAACTTGTAAATTTACTCGTTCGTCTTCTTGTTATAAATACTGGCCTTCTCGTGTTTTGCGAATTTTGATAACGTTGGTCAAATTAAATCACGAAAATGATGGCCTGATAAGGGTTAATAGCGGCTGAGCATATTCTGTTTATCTAATCTAAGATAAACCCTACTGTCAGTCACTGTTCATCTGACCTAGAACTATCCTGTTCTAATTGTCTAAGCTGAAACAGCCATAGTCCACTTGTCTAATCATGGATTACGGTTATGCTGCTTATCTAGTTGGGAACACCATCAAAGACTATTTATAGAATAAGTGACTTTTCTACATCTGACTGGATCGGGAATGATCGAGTATTATTATCCTTTTTTTATTATTGTTCTTATTAATTATTTATAAGTTGCATCGATTACAGCCGAACAAAATATTGTTCAACTGTAACAGCAAGTTATACGGGGAACATTATACTAGTTCGACGTTTGTTCCAGCCCCCAATTGTTGTTTTGAGCGTCGTGGTCGTTGAAGCCGAAGGATTAGAAGCCAAAGACGCAAATGGTAAGAATTCTGTTCACCCTTAATGCTTTCGCAAGTCATTCACCGCCAAAAAATGCCGGTGGTATCCAGTTGACAGGAACATAGATGAATTTCCTATCGGATTACACACATAATCCTGCCAGAGTCGCCGATGTCGGAAATTTTGATGTAGGCGCAGATGTATTCCAATTTTTAATACTTCGTAGAAACTACGATCGATTCGAGGACAATTTAAAGAATTTAATTGTACAATCTATATCGAGAATTAAATACCTACGTACATCGATTTAATAAATAATTTTAACGAATTGTTATGCTAATTGAAAGCGTATCTAATAATTGACATGTAATAGCACCTATTCAGTACATATAGGAGGCGGCACTGTATAGAACATTTGGACTGATAAACACTGGACATCATTGGTCCGTGGACAGCATTGGAACTGAGATATCCACTGATAACATTGACACGCATATGCTTGAAATTGATACACTTGCATCAATTCATTGTATAACATGTTTACGATTGACTTGATATCTTAATATTAATTATGTTCAAGCTGTATATTCAGGACTGAAATATATCATTATTGTACAGTGAATTGGTCCCTCTAACATGTCAAAAAATTCAAGCTATTCAGTCCAGTTTTAAAGAAGTTATACCGTCATAAAGGGTGTTCATATATATTTATCCCACCCTGTACATCTTATAAAGCATATTCATGAGAATCTCCCTTCTCTGTCTCGCAAGTGCCCTTAAGATACTTTAGTTTCGAGTTGCTTAAACAATGCTGAGTGAATTCAAAAATAGTATAAACTTTCATATTTTATTTGTGAAGACGTCTGTTTTTTTAAAAAATACTTATTTATAACCTTCAAAATTTGTCTTGAAAATTCTTATCAATCAAATACAAAATGCCTCTTAAAATTGAACTTTTATAATAGAATTTCAATGTTAATGGAGAAATTAACTCGAAACGGAAACAGAGAATAATTCAGAAGTTAAAAGTTTACTAAATAATTTAGAAGCGTAAAGCTTATACCAAATAACTTACATTTATGCAAGTTTACGATTAAATTACAGTTGAATTATAATTAAATTAGAGCTCTGCTCCGAACAAACCCCCTTTTCAAGGAGGTCCTCGATTACACTTTTGCCCGATGCTGCTCGGCAAAGGACTAGAATGGAAATTGTCTGTATCGTCCGCAGGATTCAGTGATCCTTACTGCATGCTGGGAATTCAGCCGGGTAACACGGCGAGTGTGCCGTCGAGTCCTCAGACGAATTTAACAGCACACTCGCCCCACACACCTCCAGCCTCGCCTCGACAAGCAACCCGGGCCCTTTCCGACGGTGGCGAAACCGAAAACTCACAGCACGAGAAACTGCGGAAGCACCATAGGTAAGTCGAGGCAACGGTGCTTCCGTTTGCACAGCCAACGATCGATTACCCCCGGTTAACCGAACATCTGAAGGTCTTAAAACTTAAAACTCCGACTTACGAAAGTTTTCGAATTTAAGGTAGATCGAACGGACATAAAATAGATTCACGAACTTCCCGTAACTTTCGAAGGTTTAACTCTCTAATCGTCCTCGATCGAAGCTCGTCCGTCAGCCAGTAAATTATACATAAATTTAATCGAAACGCTCGATAATTATTATGGTCGCCGACGGCAATTTCATTGGGCACAATGCATGTACGAAACGTGAACAATCCTAACGGAATTCAGATTATATAGGCGAATACCATGTGATCGGCTATGGAAAAGATTTAATATATTTTAGGATGATTTAATCGAGCACAATTAGATTACAGCTCTCTCTCGTTCCCAGATTTAATGGGTTATCGTGTTTACCATAGTTAGCTAAATAATAAGTTTACCCTGTGACCTTTGAACTGTACACATTAGTGGAATTTGAAATAAAAAGCCTGTGTCCCTGGAAAATAGTCGAAGGTTTACTTACTTTGTCGAATGAAATGATTGCAAAAGAATTTGTAATCGTTCGATGATACAATTACTGGTTCATTTCCCCGCTAACGTATTTGCACTTCCATCGTGCGTCTCTCTCTTGCAGTTGCGTAATATAAATAAGTAAAAATATCGCTGAGCACTTTTCCTCGAAACCTGTCAAAATTAGTAATCTAAAGCTTCGATGTCGCACCTTAATAAACTCGAGTAAAGAAACTAACTACAAAAAAATAAAAACTTTTGTTCGTGAAAATGATTGCAACATGGGAAATAAAATGTCCACGAATAACAAATAATAATGCTTCGCTAATAAATAAATTGACGAGTGAAATTGATCATAAAACAATGATTCTAAACGTGGCTTTACAGAGAACATTTTTATCGAAGTTGCTGAACGTGCTCCAACCATAAGAAAAACTGAAATAAAAAATACGAGGTCACGTCCAAATAGAAATAGATAATACCATGGACGTTTGCAACACGGACAAAAATATTCTGAAGGATGTGTGTTAGCGATCTACTGTAAGACTATCGCGGCATAGATCGCACGATCTATGTGTCCTAGTGCCAGCTAACTTAACCCTCGAATGACGTTGCGTGGATCTATTTTGACCCAGATTCGCAAGGAATCTATCCGAGGTCTTAGATTGAAATGACCTACTCAAACTGCGACCTACTACCAGGTATCGCAAGAAGATCGACGTGTCCTGAAGAGGCGCGTGACAGAACGCGTTCGCGCATTGAAAAGCTAGCTGGGTCGCGCGATGTAAAAAGAAGAGATGGTTGCCTCGCTAAAAAGTTTTTCGCACGCTAAAAGTTTACTTCAACGAGTTCCCGCGAGAGGTGTTACTGAAACATCGGTACTCGCCAAAAATTACTTCTTAAAATTATATTTTTACAAGCGTAATTCTAGTACGGTATCGAACACACGCACGCATAAATAGAAATTCTCACCGATAGTACGAAAGTTTCATAGAGCATCTAGCGCACTTTATCGGAAGTAAACCTTTAAGATCATAGAAGTAGGGATGAAAAGTGGGTCCACCTGTCTTTCTTACATCGTGCCGGTTTGGAACAAAACCAGCCGTAGCTAACTCAACTTTTAGAAATTCCTTTTGCACGGAGTCGTAGTATAAATTACTCAAACGTATCCCTCGGGAATGATTCTCCCGCGAACACGTTATATTGCACCGCAAAGTTCTTAATTGTTTGACGTAGCCTTGCTATTTCACGGTTTCATGCGTCGAATTAACTTCGTGCCAATATTTAACGAGTACCCGAGTATTGTTTCATAGAAATCTGCGTTCATCGGATGAAGCTTATACCGCTGACTTAATAATTCGCCCGAGTCTGCTTCGTTAAGAGTTTACCTTTTCGTAATGTAAAGTTCGGATCGTTTTCTTGGTTGAAATTGAAAGTATTGTGCAGTTGGTATTGAAAGATTTCAAGAAACCGGAGTTCGAAGTACGGTGAAGTTTATAACTTCGTTGCATCACACACAAAGGAGACAGTCGAATGGTTCGAAGAATAATACAGCATTACGTTTGCGTAAGTTCAAGATTTCTTGAGAATCGTTAGAAGCGTAACTGTTCTATGAATCGCGAGACTCAATTTCACATACATAAAATGCACTTTGTTATATAATACGGAAATACCGTGAGGCAGAAAAATTGCAAAGGGTTAAAAAGTTGTATCGATCTAAAAGATAAAGCAATACTTTTCGTAGCCGCGGTATACGCGCGGGAATTGCCGAATGAAAGTTTCAGTTCATCGAAATAAAGATGCTTCGTCTCATTCTCTATTAAAAGCATGATTTCACCCGAACCGTGTAACCCAGCCCCTAATTAATCGAACTCTTCGAAGCAATCTTCCGGGCGGCGGCGGCGGCGGCGGCGAGCCTGTCATCTCTCCGCTTGATAAGATCATTCTCAGGCTAGAACTGGCCGAAGCTACATTCTGGTAATTATTAACGGAGAAAAGTTTCTCGCGTGATCGATTAATCTTATTACGTACACGCGCGCGAGGTAACTCGATCGATCACTCGAAGACACCGAGCTCAGCGTGGCGCGCGGCGCGCGGCGGTCCGCGCAACAGGAGGGTACGCGTTTTCCAGACGCCTCGCTCGACTGACATTTCCACAAAGCGTCGCGATAACAATGAGCTGTTGCCGGATGCGGCAAAGTTCTGTTTGCGACGGTTCGCGGGCAGAATAAGGCCGCCCGTGCATTCAGAAGCACGCGGTCCGCGGTTCTATCTCGCGGCCATTGTCTTCGCCCAGCATCGAAGGCGGCGAGGCGATTAATTTTAGTCTTGCGCCGCGCGGACCCAGGAATCGCAGAGGGTGTCCACGTTCTCTACCACGTGCCGCCGTGTCGATCGTGTCGTGTTTTCGCCGTTTCCGAGCTCTCCCCGTCGATTCTGGCGAGTAGCCATGCCGAACACGGAGAAATTGGCCATCAAACAACTAGAAACTATGTAAGAACCACTCTCTCCCCGTTACTAGATGTTGCTAGAATGTAACGAACTGTCACTAGTGTCGCCGACTACGTTTACGTCGATTTCGTTCGCCAAAATGGGCCCGAGCCTATCGATGGACACGTTCACCTAGAGATTATCTATTAGGTGCGATCCGTCGTGACGTCGAAAGTGATCCTTGGAGCCGTCAGCTCTTGCAAAATTGAGGCTTCTGAAAGAATGTCATGACTCTCCTGTCTGTAAAGATTTTTTCTCGTTGAGCCAGTGGAAGATACTCGTGCTAGGTACGTACAGTTTGAGCCGATTCAGTCGATGAAAAGCTTCGCAAGAGCAGCGAAATAGAAATTGGAAGCGGTTCCAAGCGATTCGTTGTGCGATCGAAAGTGATACTCGAAACAATTTCGGTCTCCTAAAATTCGAGGTTGAAGACGGATGACTTCTCCATTCGTCTCTTGGGCATTTTGATCTAAATTGATAGCACCTGCTTGTATTGGATACGAAGTATGGAGTAGGAAGATCGTAGAAATTATTAACAGCAATTATTTATTTGATGTAATCCTTATGAGGACTTATACGGTTGATCGAACGTTATTTTCATCGTGTCAGTGCTGTTATTCTTCGTTCGAAATGTTCTTTAACATCTTCGTCATTTCCTGTTGTACTGTCATTGTGTCCATAAAATGCTGTCTTCGCGTGACATTTTTCATTTCGGAAGACTGTTTCGAAGGACTGTTTTTTCACACGCTTCAACAGTTTCCAGGAAACCGAATGTGAATTCTTTGTTCTTTAAAAAAAGCCATGAAACGTTCTGCGCAACTTGTGGCATAAATTAGTAGCAAGATTATACAAGTTTGTGTAAACATAACAGAAACGTCTCAAGACAATGTTAAAACTAGTTTTATTTACAAAAGTATCTGCTTCAATACGATATTTTTCGAACAAAATGCTGTTCGATGTCCAAGGGAATAAACAGTACTATCAGTTTCCTGAACAGTTTCGTAAATTGTATCTCGTTGCAAATCATTGTCGTCTTTTGTATCAACATCTCCTACAAAAATTCATTCCTTCGACGACAAACTCTATCCTTGGGGTGAGAGAGAAATCGTTCGGAATCGAATCTCGAGAACGCGAACAATGCGCGAACACGGGACTATTATTCTTTCTCTTAACCTCGCGAACGTTATTCTCCTCGTGGTCTTATTTAAGCAAACAGCTTGCTTGGCTTCGAATGGATGGAAAACACCATTTCCTTTACTGTCGCTATTATTTCCCCGAATTACCGAAGATTTTAACCATCCCCTAAGATCCGGAAACCTTTTACCGCTTCTCTGCGAGTGTTTGCAAAAACGAAGCCTAGATAAGACGATGTCTTATCTGCTCAAACGTTCAAACGTCTGCAGTAGAAGCGAAGCCACGGTCCTCCAGGGACAGGATCAATTCTCCGCAATCGATAGTTATCCCTGCAGGATCGTAGACATTCACCTGGAAAAAGTGCACGAGGAAAACGTTCTTCTCCTTAAGTATTTTTTCCTCGCTGGAATCACGGCGCACAGGGCCCATTTAACGTCGTCGACGACGCTTCCGAATGACATAGCGTTTGGAAAAGTCTCGGTCATTCGCAACATCGTTAATGTTTTCGCCAGAGACCCAATGTGCTTCAGCTGTAATCAAACGTCCCTTCTACAACAATTTTTCTCTCGCCGCGGATTGCATTTTCGCTAAGGAAAAAGTTGCCTCAAATGACCTCAGGAATCCCCTACTTTCGGATTGCGAGACATTTTCGGGACATCCTGTATATATGTATACTATATACTGCACCGATTATTCATCCCAAAGCAGTTTGCTTCGAAACAAACAGTTCTCTGGAAACTATGTACACCGGTTTTAGCTGCGTGCTTTGTGTTATTACCGCAATGCTACGAAGTGATTTCCTTTGAAATTACTCGCAAATAATATCCGCGATTACCGTAAAAATAACTACTGCGTTGCGAAAGCAATTCGGTTCAGAGAATATCATTGATTTTAGCCAGCCAATATTACTGCAGCCCTTAAATAATGTTAACCCAAACGAACATCGTGTAAAATGAGACACATAGACCAGCTAGACATGTATGAACAATTTCGATCACAAATCGTCATCTAAATTGGGAAAGGAGTAAGGAGGTTTGACGACCGATCGACCGATCAATGTCTTGAACGGCGTGGATACGTTTCGGTTGGTTTACCCTTTGACTGGAAAGGGCCAATTCCTAGAGTGTTAAGTGCTGACTCGTAGGTATTGGCTAATCGTGGCAATTCCCGGGAACTGTAGCCAGAGATGGAGACCAGGGGGTGACACGAAAAGGTCGGGGAAGATATTGTAGCTGTTCGAAATCAGTTTCAGGCTGTCGTTCAAGCGCAAGGAGCACACGAGCAGACGCGAACATCGAGAGTCCTTNAGTGCACGAGGAAAACGTTCTTCTCCTTAAGTATTTTTTCCTCGCTGGAATCACGGCGCACAGGGCCCATTTAACGTCGTCGACGACGCTTCCGAATGACATAGCGTTTGGAAAAGTCTCGGTCATTCGCAACATCGTTAATGTTTTCGCCAGAGACCCAATGTGCTTCAGCTGTAATCAAACGTCCCTTCTACAACAATTTTTCTCTCGCCGCGGATTGCATTTTCGCTAAGGAAAAAGTTGCCTCAAATGACCTCAGGAATCCCCTACTTTCGGATTGCGAGACATTTTCGGGACATCCTGTATATATGTATACTATATACTGCACCGATTATTCATCCCAAAGCAGTTTGCTTCGAAACAAACAGTTCTCTGGAAACTATGTACACCGGTTTTAGCTGCGTGCTTTGTGTTATTACCGCAATGCTACGAAGTGATTTCCTTTGAAATTACTCGCAAATAATATCCGCGATTACCGTAAAAATAACTACTGCGTTGCGAAAGCAATTCGGTTCAGAGAATATCATTGATTTTAGCCAGCCAATATTACTGCAGCCCTTAAATAATGTTAACCCAAACGAACATCGTGTAAAATGAGACACATAGACCAGCTAGACATGTATGAACAATTTCGATCACAAATCGTCATCTAAATTGGGAAAGGAGTAAGGAGGTTTGACGACCGATCGACCGATCAATGTCTTGAACGGCGTGGATACGTTTCGGTTGGTTTACCCTTTGACTGGAAAGGGCCAATTCCTAGAGTGTTAAGTGCTGACTCGTAGGTATTGGCTAATCGTGGCAATTCCCGGGAACTGTAGCCAGAGATGGAGACCAGGGGGTGACACGAAAAGGTCGGGGAAGATATTGTAGCTGTTCGAAATCAGTTTCAGGCTGTCGTTCAAGCGCAAGGAGCACACGAGCAGACGCGAACATCGAGAGTCCTTAAGCGGCGCGGTTCCGGCGAAGTTTATACGGGCGACCACGGTGAAGCCGCACACGCTCAGCCCGCGATGGAACGAGAAGTTTCGTTTGTAAGCAGCACCAAAGTGTTCCGGAAAGCACGTCTTCCTTCGAATTGTTCCGAAATCGGAAACGCGTTACGTTCGAACGAATCCGGTCGACCGATAACAGCTAATTCCATCGTTTTTCCCCTTTTCCAGCGACATCGATGATATCCATACAGACATTCTGCACCTAGACATATGGTGAGTACGGTCATTAGTTGTTCATTTTCAATGAGAATGGACTTCTTTAATCGTTGGGTGGAGAATCGTCTGAAAGTAAAATCGAATTTTTTTATGTTGTAAACGCAATCATTTGCTCCATTTAATAATAAGATACCGACATAATGTTTCTTCGTGCATTTCTAACTATGGTGTATAAAACTATTCCAATTTTTATTAGATGCTACAAAACAAAATAAATTTATCTCCATCGTCGAACGGTTGAAGAAGATTCAAAGCGTGTATAGAAAACAAGAACTTAGAAACATCTGTGTATAGGAACAAATAGTAATTCTTATTTCTTTCAAACTAAACACAACAAGAAAATGAAAATTGGCTCTAATAAATTCTATATAATTACATTTAATTAATAGAATTAATGCGTTTCTATAATTCTTGTTCTATACAAATATCACAGAATATACAATACACTAGAAACATTTTTGCATCAACGAAATATTAGCATTTTCCCATTTACATCACTTATGAATCAAATAGACATTAAGAAGGAAAGTGTGCCACTATTTTGGACGAAATAAATTGTACATACTCGATCAATATTTTCACTGACCCAAAAATGTCCCAAAAATGTCTCGCAATCCGAAAGTGGCGGGTTCCTCGGGTCATTCGAAGCAACTTTCTCCTTTACAAAAATTTTCTCCGAGGTACCATTAACGAGTTATTAATGAAAAACAGTGACCAATGAGAGGCGAGCTCAGCTGGCGCAAGCCAATGAGCGGAACTGGGCTTCGTACGCTGGTTGGCTGGGCCGCCTCGCGTCAGCCGTAGTCGATTCTTATTGGCCACTGTATTTCGTTAATAACTCGTTAACGGTGCCTCGGAGAACGTTTTTGTAAAGGAAGATGTTGCTTCAAATGATCCGAGGAACCCGCCATTTCCGGATTGCGAGACATTTGGGGACACCCTGTATTTATGATTTCTGGAGCACTCAATTCAGGAATATTTTTCATTGTTCCAAATTATTCCGAAGCTTCGCACCCGCGAACTCTGATTTTTTGGTCGCGTACCATACACGGCTTCATAGTTTCTTCTACGTTGGTGTTCTCACACAAGAAATTTAATTCTGCACCCACATACGTGCATCTTCCGCTCGGAAGTGTTTCCGTTGTCCTGACAGACATAGTTTTAGGGATCACGACGACGAGTCCTCGGTATTCGACGCTGTTAGCAAGCTGAATGAGGTTCGCGGCGTCAAGGGTCTCGGACGGTTTTTCAAGCAGATCGCGCAGAGCGCGAGATCCGGCGGACAGGATGACTTCTTGGGCTGCGTGAATATCCCTCTGCAGGTATTTAATTTCTCTGATTATTCTTCGCGAGTTCCATTGAAAATTACTAAGTTGTCAAACGTGACATGCAATTTTTAATAGGCAAATAGAATTGATATCGTCGAATACGAAAGAATGGCAACCTTGCACTTTAGTGGATGCATCGATGCCGTGCTAGCATAACTATTACAATTATAAGAAAAAATTGTGCATTCCAATTAGGCGAATTAGCATAGTAATGGAAGTATTATAATATCGAAACGGCGTTCTGCGAAGAGTTCATGATCTGTTATCAGGACATCCCGAGCACCGGACTCGATCGATGGTACAAACTTGAAGCTAGAACACAACGCAGCACTATTCAGGGTAGAATTAGATTAAAGCTGTGGCTATCAACGAGGGAGGACAGGGGAACCTCTGAAGAAGACAATTGGGGGGAATTGAGGCAGCAGGAAAGACTCTACACCGTTTTCCTCAACCACGAAATGAACAAACAAGGGGTACGTCTGGATAACACGAAATGCTCACAATTCTAAATTCAATTGCAGAAGCATTCCACAGCTGAAATCTATAAAATATCCGAAATGTCTCGACAATGAATGAATATATTTTAAAGATTTGTGAGACCTGATTTGTTTCTACAAGGCTTGCATTTGTCTGCAGTTGACGTATATAGTGGTGCGAATAATTATAGGCTCAAATTAACTTCAACATTTTTAATATTTAAACAAAAACTTAACAAAATTACCTTGTCAAAACAATTTGAAATAAAATAAATAAACAGATAGGGTACTATCTATGTGGGCGCCCATCTCTATGTGGGCGTTCTCTTTTCCCTTTACTTCTATGTTTTATTTCCATCAATTTAGGAAGACTTCACGGGAGAATTGCCACAAACGGCACTAACAATTCTTCACCAACACGCCGTCCAAGGTGATGTCACGGAGTTGCAGCAAGCGTTAGTTAAATGGATAGCAACCTCGCGACAGCCAAACTGCGATCCGCGGATTCTCCACCGGCTTCTTCAGGTTGCTACGAATCTTTTAACATATTCGTAATACGTGCATATCTTTCGAAATTGCGCTATAGTATAATATTCTTAAGTTCATTATACAGGGTGTCCCGAAAATGTCTCGCAATCCGAAAGTGACGGGTTCCTCGGGTCATTCGAAGCAACTTTTTCCTTTACAAAAATGTTCTCCGAGGCACCGTTCACGAGCTATTAACGAAAAACAGTGACCAATGAGAGGCGAGCTCAACTGGCGCGAGGCGATCGAGCCAATGCTGTCTCTTATACACATCTAGATGTGTATAAGAGACAGGGAAAAAGTTGCTTCGAATGACCCGAGGAACCCGTCACTTTCGGATTGCGAGACATTTGGGGACACCCTGTATTTATGCTGTCTCTTATACACATCTAGATGTGTATAAGAGACAGGGAAAAAGTTGCTTCGAATGACCCGAGGAACCCGTCACTTTCGGATTGCGAGACATTTGGGGACACCCTGTATTTATGCTGTCTCTTATACACATCTAGATGTGTATAAGAGACAGGGAAAAAGTTGCTTCGAATGACCCGAGGAACCCGTCACTTTCGGATTGCGAGACATTTGGGGACACCCTGTATTTATGCTGTCTCTTATACACATCTAGATGTGTATAAGAGACAGGGAAAAAGTTGCTTCGAATGACCCGAGGAACCCGTCACTTTCGGATTGCGAGACATTTGGGGACACCCTGTATTTATGCTGTCTCTTATACACATCTAGATGTGTATAAGAGACAGGGAAAAAGTTGCTTCGAATGACCCGAGGAACCCGTCACTTTCGGATTGCGAGACATTTGGGGACACCCTGTATTTATGCTGTCTCTTATACACATCTAGATGTGTATAAGAGACAGGGAAAAAGTTGCTTCGAATGACCCGAGGAACCCGTCACTTTCGGATTGCGAGACATTTGGGGACACCCTGTATTTATGCTGTCTCTTATACACATCTAGATGTGTATAAGAGACAGGAAAGAAGTTGCTTCAAATGATCCGAGGAACCCGCCATTTCCAGATTGCGAGACGTTTTTGGGACATCCTGTATATAGGTATATTCGGTCTAAGGTCTTGATCATGTAAACGCGAAACACCATGAGAGGGTTTACAATACCTTACGACCTTGTCTTTAACATACATGAACTGGGATTGGCTTCTAGGAGTTGGATAAAGTTTGGCACACAGATACACTTTCCCGAGACGTGGCACAGTGTCTTGCCGATTCCTTCAATGACTTCCTCGATGTCTCCTTAAAGAAAATTCGGCAGCATCGTATACTATACCCGCCGTTACATCGACCATCGATCTCTAAACTGGATTATCTTCTTAGGTGAATGTCTCATAAAAAAAAGTGACTAGCAATTACCAATTGTGAGAGTAATTTTAAATAAGAATGCATAAGCAAGGTTTTGTGAATTCGTGAAAACGAATTAATATGAGTCAGTATAATTGCTGCAATTAAAAGTTTTAATTCTTTGTGTTCGAACATGAAATTGCGTAAAAGCATACGATAGAAATTTCAACAGCAATGGTTTGGATTACAACTTTGCTTTTCTAATGTTGTAACTGTGTTTTTCATCTCGACTGTACACTTTTAATTCGTGCGTTCAAATATGGTTAAAGATTAACGAAATTTTAATATAAATGAAAATATTGCTACATGCTTGTATTCTTTTTTTTACAGATGTTTAGGACTGCTATCAAATATGTCAGCTTTTCGATCGTGTTGTCCTTTCAACAAAGAAATTCGTGGAGAAATTATAACTGCCTTAAGAAAAGGAACCCTCGATTGGTTGGTGATAGATTTAACTAAATTAATCATTTGCCGTTACATTATATGTCTATTCGCATTTGGCGAAAATTATTATTGTCAGAGACTTTTACAATTAACCGTTGCACTACCACCTTTATTGTATTATAGCTTCAACATGTCTTGGTTGTTCATGTTGATGATCCCCCAGGTATGAAAGTACGAGACTGCAAACAATGTGTTATGACAAGGAACCTGATCAGGATGCAGACAAAGTCTTGCAAGACTTTACGAACTTAGTAACTGCATTACTGGTAGACTTGGAACAGGGGTTGTCTTACTATAACAGCCTCTTTGAAAGGTGAGTAATTTAAAGTCTATTAGCAGAACCGCTTTCTTCACTTTATTAATCTAAAACTGTAATATATTCTTCTTCGTATAGTTAGACTACGCATACATCGATATTACATTGACTAGTTTTAAGCTAATAAATTATTATCATAATAATATAGTCTTTTTTTTCTTGAATATTCCAAAGTTTTCCTGAACTTATTTCAGAATATGTAGCAAATAAAATTTGTAAAATAATTACTCTCCCTGACAGAAAATATTCGATCAAAGTCATAAATATGATCGTTGAAAAATTATTTAAAAAACAAACAATAACATTGTATACTTATTGCATACATGTATACTAGACGAGCGTGATAGAAGAGTTAACAATATTTTTTAAAATAGTAATAATAGTAATTCCAAAAAATATGTAATTATTAAAATTTGTCCGACAAGCAATACTTCACAGTGTTGAACAAGTTTTTCTGTAGATTATTTACGTTTGTTAAGGACAACAGTATCGATGATAGAACACAAACAACGCATGAAATATTATGTTTCAGCACGAACGGTGTGCCATATTTTGCAGCGGTGTATAAACAATTGGACAAGCTGGTAAGCAATTGAATGCAAAGTGCAATCCGACAGTTGAAAGAGTAAACGAGAGATATAAGATACTCACTTTCTAGTCCCGCGATGATGCAGAATCGAAGCACACAATCATATAACACATGACTATATTTTATTCACTGTTTCGTAAAGCTGGATGTGCTATGTTTGGCTTATATGCTTTATTCAAGACGTCGATCGTTTTGTTTATTTTTTTTTCCAATTAAAAACTATCAGCAACTCGTTTAAAAGAGTGTTTTCTCCAATTTCTGACTATTCGTTGATTCTTCTAAACGCTACATCTTTGAAGGTTGGATGTGAAAATAATGCGATAATCATTTTATCAATGTATTTATGTTTTTTACAAACAATTTTCTCGTCATCTGTGAATTCGGTCGACGTCCTTGCATCGAAATAACTGCAGAAACATATTACTCTTTATGTATAGGGTGTTCCATGTACAAATACACCACGATGGGTAACTATCAAAAGAAACGATTACGCGACGACGTATATTGTTGCTCTAAATCCGGGACTCCCGCGTAGCGGAGTGAGACGCGCCACGTGACCCAGCCTCGCTCCTACAATTTGAAATCCGGCTTAAACGTCTGCGAAACATGGTTGCATGGTAGCTCGCGAGTTTCTGCGGTCATTGTTATTTATATATCGGCTTCGCGAAATTGATAAAGTTTCAGGAGGATATCAAGGAAAGTTAGATTATTACACTGAGACTAGGGACACCCTATAAATAAACAAATCGCAGTGACCTGAAGGCCGGGTTGAATGGAAAGCCGACGAAATGCGATACGTCCGTCAGGTCATCGCGATCTTACTGTACACAAGATGTTTGTCCATAGCTGGCGGAACACGTGGCGACACACATGGAGAACACTTCCGAGGTACTTTTTCATCGCCACCACGAAATGTTAAAACCCCTCTATTCTTCTCTGTCTTCTCTCTTCTTCAAACTCCTTCTGTATGTGATAACTCGAACCGTCGACATCGCGACGCCTCGAATTTATTTGCGCACGTTTCCCATCGACGGATCTATAAAAGTTCACGAAGTTCACAGACTTATAAACATTACAAGAATACCAATCGTATTTTTTTATTCCACTGGTCCGTCGAACGCAAATAAGATAGAGGGTCATTGATTAGACGGTGGTCTTCCGAAAATGTTTTAGACCAACGATTTCTTGTAAATATCGGGCTCCCCTCAAATTCCGAGTTATCGAGAGTGCAGAGTATTCTGATATCGTAGAGTTTTACAAGGCCTACAGACCAAATCTGATCTCAACAATACACGGTTGCTGACGCTGTGCAGTCTTTAGCTCAAAGCTTGAGTTCCAACAGCATCCGAAACTTCGTCGGAGTTTTGTTGTATATTCAGCAAAAATGTGCCGATCTGTTGTAGATAGCTAAATTTGTTGTAGATAGCGGATAAATGTCATTTTATGTTGTTGTTAATACGACGAAACAATTGTACATATTCAATCTCTTCCGAAACATATTTCTATGAAATAGTTTAGTCTAGATATTTTTAAGAAATTATAGCTATACACCCATTTACAATTCTATTTTCTTTTAATTCTGTTAGTTTAACTAATAGTTTAGAATAGCGCTATTTTTGAAGTTGCACAATAGTTTACTAAATCATGTCCTCCGTGATTATGAACGAAACGCTATTATTTATATTAATTACATTTTTGTACTAATTTGTATCGACAATAAGTAGTACGTCTGTATTAATTTCGCACTCGAATCGCGTGTTCGTACGTATAAATCGGTAACTCAGATTCGTCAGAGTCTCGTGAAGGAAATTCTACTCTTCTATTTTGTTCGTATTTGTGTGCCGATGCGGACATACGGTAACAGCATACCCAATTTTTCATTCAATCTTTTCCGAGACACTGAGAACGTTATGGTCCATAGTAATGCATGTTTCCATTGTCAGCCTTTCAGTTTCAGCTGGTGCACAATTCTCGTAGCTTCCAACGTATGTATATCGATAACACATCACATGTTGTGCGTGGAACTACCACGTAATTTGGCAACACCGCGCCGAAAACACATCGAATTTATACATTATACATATACTGTACGTATATGCGCTGGGGCTGTTCTGCATGTGCACTAATTGTTCCTGATATGCCCCCGTCTTCCGAAACGTGTTAGACTACCCAGAGGCTACAGAATGTACCAAAGTTTATCTCCAACTACCCGAACAGAGAAATTACATCCGCGCCTATAGTTACCCGATTTGTCGTGAAATGCTTCCCCACAAAACTTAACGCAACGAAGTACAGTAATGTCTCCCATACCGACGCTCGGATTGTCCACTAAAATGGATCATTTGGGCAAGGGAGATACGATTATACGAGCCTTGTTTTTATAATTGTGGGCAATTTATAACTATAAAAATGAACCGCAAGGCTCGAATAATCGTATCTCCTCTTCCTAAATTGTCCATTTTTCTGCGCAATCTGGGCGTCAATTAGAGAGACATTACTGTATTTAGTAAACAGATCCTTATGAAAATCGTGCTTGTTCTTCTTGCGAGTTCAACTTCCTAAAATGCTAAAAAATATGCAAGTAACCCAATCTGAAGTACGATTATCTCAATTCGACGACGTAAACAGCCTTGTAGAAAACCGATCGATCGTAGAAGTAAAAGTAGAATTGATTTTATTGTTCATTCGTTTCGAGCACAGTTTGAGAAATTCTCAAACTTGTTTAAACAATATTTCTAGATTTTTGCACATTCTGATTGTCAAAACTGCAGCAATTATTCGCCGAAAAAGTAGAAAAGTAAAAAAAAAAGATGTTCTTACGTCGTTCGTACAATAACTGTCGTGTGAATAAACTGAAACTTTGTAATTAAAAAATTAATTTTTGATCTTGACCAGTTAGCTGCTTTTGATGATGTCAACTTACATTGTAAATCAATCCGCTGTGTTTGACAAAAACATATGCAATTAATTATGAAAGCATTCTTGAATTACATCCTGAGAAGTGGCCGACAGACGGAAATACTTTCCGACGAGTCTGTGACACTCGGCCAAAAGTCTTTGAGAGTCCTAGCAATTGAATATCGTTTATCTTTGCGTAAAACTTCCACTCGACTCCCGGATCATTTTTCCTCCAGCACTTTCGCGCAAGTTTCCGCGCCGATCCGGAACTTCGAAGCAATTACAAAGTTCGTGACCCGTCCTGGGGAGATTTCGTTATTTTATCCGCATCTCCCCGCAATTTTTCCCGCCGGGATAACAAAGAACTCTTATGTTTCCGTGGACGCGTGATATCGGCGCGGAAAAGCAGGAGCCTCTGACCAAATATTCCTCCGTAAAAGAGTTACCATGGCACAAGTGGAGTTTCAANGCCGAAAACACATCGAATTTATACATTATACATATACTGTACGTATATGCGCTGGGGCTGTTCTGCATGTGCACTAATTGTTCCTGATATGCCCCCGTCTTCCGAAACGTGTTAGACTACCCAGAGGCTACAGAATGTACCAAAGTTTATCTCCAACTACCCGAACAGAGAAATTACATCCGCGCCTATAGTTACCCGATTTGTCGTGAAATGCTTCCCCACAAAACTTAACGCAACGAAGTACAGTAATGTCTCCCATACCGACGCTCGGATTGTCCACTAAAATGGATCATTTGGGCAAGGGAGATACGATTATACGAGCCTTGTTTTTATAATTGTGGGCAATTTATAACTATAAAAATGAACCGCAAGGCTCGAATAATCGTATCTCCTCTTCCTAAATTGTCCATTTTTCTGCGCAATCTGGGCGTCAATTAGAGAGACATTACTGTATTTAGTAAACAGATCCTTATGAAAATCGTGCTTGTTCTTCTTGCGAGTTCAACTTCCTAAAATGCTAAAAAATATGCAAGTAACCCAATCTGAAGTACGATTATCTCAATTCGACGACGTAAACAGCCTTGTAGAAAACCGATCGATCGTAGAAGTAAAAGTAGAATTGATTTTATTGTTCATTCGTTTCGAGCACAGTTTGAGAAATTCTCAAACTTGTTTAAACAATATTTCTAGATTTTTGCACATTCTGATTGTCAAAACTGCAGCAATTATTCGCCGAAAAAGTAGAAAAGTAAAAAAAAAAGATGTTCTTACGTCGTTCGTACAATAACTGTCGTGTGAATAAACTGAAACTTTGTAATTAAAAAATTAATTTTTGATCTTGACCAGTTAGCTGCTTTTGATGATGTCAACTTACATTGTAAATCAATCCGCTGTGTTTGACAAAAACATATGCAATTAATTATGAAAGCATTCTTGAATTACATCCTGAGAAGTGGCCGACAGACGGAAATACTTTCCGACGAGTCTGTGACACTCGGCCAAAAGTCTTTGAGAGTCCTAGCAATTGAATATCGTTTATCTTTGCGTAAAACTTCCACTCGACTCCCGGATCATTTTTCCTCCAGCACTTTCGCGCAAGTTTCCGCGCCGATCCGGAACTTCGAAGCAATTACAAAGTTCGTGACCCGTCCTGGGGAGATTTCGTTATTTTATCCGCATCTCCCCGCAATTTTTCCCGCCGGGATAACAAAGAACTCTTATGTTTCCGTGGACGCGTGATATCGGCGCGGAAAAGCAGGAGCCTCTGACCAAATATTCCTCCGTAAAAGAGTTACCATGGCACAAGTGGAGTTTCAAAAGTTGCCAAGCATCCAGTGCGCTGCTTGTTTCATCGCTGCCCTTTAATTCCACCGAGTTATGCACGCGTCCGCCGTTAAACATCGAGGTCGTAGCTAAAAACGCTGGAGCATCTCGCGCGAACTGTTACAAGGGTGAAAAATATTGTTAGAAAAGTTGCTTGGTACAGAGATGTATATATTTGCCAGGAAAATAAGCAGTATGGACAATTCAAATTATAACTTTTGATTCGTGAAAAATTGTTGAAAACGTTTCAAGTCAAACGTTCCACTCGCGACGACTGTGCGAACGTCGCGGTGCAAGGGGGAGAGATGATAGACCGACTTAATTAAACTTCGAGAACTATCGTAGAAAAGTTTGATGTTTTTTTTCTACAATATTTTTAAGTCTATATAAATGGAGTTTCAGTGTTTATTGTTAGACTCAACCAATATACCACAGGAGGAAAAGGTACTCGTGAATTTAAAACAATCGTATAGCAGTGATTAATTGTTAGTTAATAATATCAGCGACAAGCAATCAGATTTGACCGAAAGCATGGAAATATAGGAATTCAAATATTGTTTGCATAAGATTAACGAATGTAACGAAGAATGTACTGGATCTTGGTAAAATCTACAAAACTTTACCTACTTTCTTTCACTTTCCTGTTTGCCGCAGTCCTCTGTTAGAATGTTACACTGTTCGAAAACTTTTGTTTCACACACTTTCTGTTCGATTCGAAGATTACTCGGTACTTTTAGCAATTACAAGAACTTAGACACTTAAAATTCCTGCAGTATCGAATCTTTCGAGAAATCAAGTTTTCATGCAAGTAATTTGTGAAGCGTTCGTAGAAACACTTGGCGATTAATAATGGCCAATTAATCAAGCGAATATGTGATCGGTAGATGGAAAACGAGCTTGGAGCAAGGGTCACTACAGCCTGTCTTCAGCTACACGGTCAGAATGCGGACGAAGAGTATGTTTTACCACCAGGCGCTGAAATAGGGACACCGATGTTCGAACTATACCTTGCTTTACAGGATTTCGTCATGTAAATGTCAATCGAATTTTTTATTTTTCAAATCTTATTGCTAGTTCCGGATTTTTTCAATAACTCTCGAGCTCTCTGACCAGCACAAAATGTGTTGACACAAACAAAATTCCGAACTTATACGATTATTAGATAAGAAATTTTATAGTTGTCAAATACCGTTCGAATATTATTTGCCTAACATCGAAAGAAAATATATCGGAAACATTTAGGCTGTTCGAGATGTATGATGTATTCCGTAGCCATAAATTAGGGTTAAGTGTTATTAAGAGGATACCATAATTTCTAGAATGAAGGAGAATCTGCCGCAGTCGGACCACAAAACTTTAGCAATTTGCAAGTTTTACGAATTGTTCAGACCAGCTGTCGACAAATGGTTGGACCTGGCTAAACTGAAAGCGATTCAACGTGTACGGAAGTCGGCTGAACTCGATCGAATCTGCACTGGCGAATACATAGTGAAACATTGCACTTCGGCGATAGATGTTACAGCGTGCTTCTATCAGGTGCATATAAAGATTGAAGCATTTTCATGTCGCAATTTTTAATACTACATCAAATATTTACAGATCAAAGAATTTTGGAAAAAGTTGGCTTGGCCCGACCTTCCGGGATCGTATAATTTAGTACTGAAAGTTATCGACGTGAGTAGTATACAATGTATTCGGTAGTATATTTATTAAGATTGATTTATTTTGCAACTGACATGTCGCGAGATAATGTCTACTAATACTGAATTAGTATTTTTAGATTATTTTCAATAAATAAAATTCTCAATATCTGAATTTGCTTCGATTCCTACATTTTAATAACACAGCGCCAAATCTTGTTTCGATTTCAAGAAAACGAATAACTTTCAAATTTAATAAATTACGTACGAATCTGACGAATCACGAGTCTGACTCATTATACGTAGTGCACAGGATTAACGATTAAACGCTGAACAAATTTGTGGTGCACAGAATTAATGCCGTTTTCTGTACGACAGGCGATATGCACTTCTGCGGCATACTACGCGGAGATCACTCATCAGAAACTCGCCGAGAGTGGTTATTACGAGGAGCAAACCCCATACAAGACCACAGACGAGGTAATCGCCCAGGTAGAGACTGCTTTGCATTTGTATGACACAATACTGCTTCGCAAATTAGCTCTAGGGGTTTCCGGAATACTTTAAAACCGGGAATGGATGACTTTTCGTTTTGATTATGCTTGAACGTTGCACTGTGCCTGACGAAATAAAGTATCGTAGATGCAACTGTCTATGGGAATGATGCAAGCGAATGATCTGCAGCATAAAGCAGCTTACAAACGCAAACGACAACAGGCAAGGCATTCGATTATAGTGCTACGCACGAAACTATTCGAATTACCTTTCTTTTTTTGGATGCATTTACAATATATGACTTCATGGCAAAGTATACAATGCTGAGTGTTAGCTGTAAATGTTAAACATTAGTCACATTCAATATTATTATCTCATTAAGTCGCTAAAATTCCACTGTCCAAATAATCTACCGTATAGTCTGAATAATATAAAAACAATTGTCGCATCAATGCAATACGAACGGATTATTTTTTTCAAGTCTAAATTCTTTTGTCAAAGGTGTATAACCAGCGATCTCATCGCTCACGATTTATTTGCTTCGGGAGGTATCCAAAGACCTGATATCTCATCAGAAGATTAATTTTATAGAAACAAAAATTATTTATTACACGAACAAAAGTACGTAATTTTTCGAGATTCAGTTTCGTAGACGAAATTTGATTTACTACATTATCCAACACTATCCGACTTTCTTTTGCCTTCCGATAACTAATAGGAGAGTCTCAAATATTATTACATGCTAAACATATTTCTTTCGAATCGAATTTTCAACTGTAATTATTTCTTCAAAGAGAAGGAAAATTTATTATGTGCCTACATTTACTTCAATCTTAAATAACGATGACCAAAGACCAGAACTTTAATTCCGCCTTGGAAGAACCGAATAAAATTCATACTTAACAGATCATTACTCGATCGATTCTACCATAGAAAAATTCTGTATTCTTCGAAGTACAACGACAGAATTTTGTTACAACAATATAAACATTTGAACGTGTTTTGTACAATATTCGAAGAGTGCGTAACGCTTTCAGCACAATTTCCTGGAACATTTTTCTATTTCTTTCGAAAGCGAAGTGTTTTAAGCCTATAAGAATCTCCTAATGATTATCGACAGGCAAAATTAGTGTTGAACAGTGTTATCAAATCGATTGAATGGAATAAATGGACAGAAAGGTAAAAAGGAAGTAGGTGGACAGAACGCTTAAGTAAGTTTAATACTTCGATAAGCTGTCCAGCTTCTTGCGATCAATAATGGTATAATCTCGTTCGACAGATGTGTGTGGCCATCAATGGCCTCGAGTACGTCCGAAGGTGGCTCATGGACTTAGGCGAGGAGCTTCATGTTGAGAAACTTTTGATGGCGCTGGAAAGCCAAGCAGGCGATTCTGCTAGGGTACAATGGAGAACCGCTTTGACATCTCCGCTGGAACAAACTCCGGGACAGATGTTGCTCTTCATAAACCAAATTGTTTCGAGAATCGGCACGAAGGTCAGATCATAACAATTTCTCAAACCGAATAATTATCATTAGACTGCAGATATTTATGCAAATTTCCATTTTCATGTGTCATTTTACAAAAATTAGGACCATAGAAAAATTTCTCTGATCAACTAGAAAGTTGTCAATTTTTTACTTTCTCTTGCATTCGAAGAATCTGCATACACCGTAAATGCATCAAATCTAATTATAATCAATCCTTACAATCACCTTTCATTCGAATGCTAAGTTCCAATTATTTATTACTATTATTATTTTCTATGTACTTGCATGTATTTTCTAGTTATGTAAAGTGCTCCAAGTAAGGTTTTACAGGCTGTTTTCGCCTAAATTATAGCAGTTATCGGCTTGATTCCTGATTATTATATAGAAAGGTGTTAATTATCCGATGTGTAAGGAAATTTTCTAAAATAGTCGCCAAGGGGGGAAGAGCATTCTCAGTTGTTATTAATAAAATATCGTATTATTCCTTTAATAAAATATCCGTTTTGTTTTAACACCGTATTGTCGTTATTTCTGCGAAAATGTTTGAAGTGAGACCTCGCAATCGCGTCGAAAGATAATTAAGAGCAGCGTATTTCTCAGTTAAGAATCACAAACTGATGATATACTTCTAACATTTTTATGTGCATGCTCAAAGAAAAAACTTGAAGAACGGTAGCTTCGTTCTTTCATAAAACGGTAAAATTGTAAATGCAATTTGAACTGGAAATGAAGTAAAAACTTGAAATTTCATAAACATTTGTAGATGAGGCCACCCCTGAAGAAGGCAATTTTCCATTTGGCTTGGTCGCCGGATAGTTTGCCCACTACAGAGGCAATTGCACCATTACTGGAATATTTGGACGTCCATCTTGTGACGCTGAATTCGGCTTTGCTTACGGTGAACTTTATGCGAGTTCTCCAAGATATTTGGGAAGTTGTGCTGGGAGAATTAAGCAACCAGATGGATGGAAACGCAGGGGTAAGTGAAAATTCCCCAATTTTCTATATACCGGATGTCTCGGTAAAAGATGGCTATCTAAATATCTATTATTTTTAGAGATATTGAAAAACTTTATTAACGAAAGTTGTTCTGGTAGGGAGATCCATAATGTGGCAGTTATTCAATATCTTCAAAAATAAGTACCTGAGACACTCTGTATATGATTGCCAAAATGATCGAATCCTTCTTACAAAATATCCTCGTTTAGGATAAACCTGCGATGTTTTATGAGAGACTCCACGAAGCCTTGGATTTGCTGATGAAATTCTTCCACGCGGACGAGAAAGGCCTCCCTTACGATACGCTGCATTCACAGAGTTTTATGAACGCCGAGGAACGCTTGCAGTATCACAAAATGGACACGGCATTCTTGATAGATCGTTTCTATCGACAACGACTTCAGGTTCGCGAATCATTTTTCTGTATATTTTTTTTTATAATTTCCACTTTTGTAGAAATTAAAATAAAAGAATAATTTTGTTCTCTTTCTTCTTTGTTTAGACAGAAAACACTCTGTAATCCAACAAAGTTCAAAAATTCGCTTTTATTACAAGAAAGTCTTGCAAATATCTTAGTCATTGTACAAACTCTTCGTTAATTAAGTTTGGAAGTACAACTTAATCATTGTGGATTTTTTGGAGCACAAAATTGAATGAAAATTTTTGAGAACTGCTTTTACTTCTTTCTGTCGATATGTATTTGGAATGATATGAATAGAATCGTAAACACCTGCGCAGAGTGATTTTCAATTGTAAAGGATTTTTCTGACTGGGCGTGTTTTTTTTAGGACCAAATGAACACCGTCTCTACAGAGTACGGTGTTCTGACAGTGATGGCATACCTCAATCACGATTCTCTTTGGGTGGAAGTGAAAAATGCCAGGGATGTGATTCCGTTGGATCCGAACGGTTTCAGCGATCCGTTCGTGATAATCGAGCTGTTGCCGCGAAGAGTCTTCGAGCATTGTGCTGAACAGCAAACCAACGTGAAGAAGAAGACACTGCACCCAATATTCGGGGAGAGTTTCGAGTTGTGAGTTTTTTCAAGTTTATGAGAACGAGTGGAGTTCCGCATGTCGAATTGTACAAAAAACTGTTAAGATACTAGTTATATTATGATACTAATTAAGATACTAATATATTTTACAGCTCTGTAACGGTGGGGCAGTGTCAAAGTCCGGATGCTATGGTACTTTTTACGGTGATGGACCACGATGTCATCAAACCGAATGACTTCGCGGGCGAAGCATTCTTAGGACTCAGTACGATACCAGGCGTGGCAGATACAAACGCAAGCATTGACAATTTCCACGGCCTCAAGCCGACCGAATTACCCCTTATGCACCAAAAAAATCGAAGTAAGCCAAAACACTGTTATCACGCGCGATTTTACTCCTTTTCATAGTAGACTAAATTTATCATGAAAAAAATTGACCTTCGTACGCATCGACTTATTCAACTGCTATCAACATTAGCTTATGCGTGCTTCGATCCGAGAAAGTTCAATACATAAACCGTAACTAAAAGTTTACGTGGCCGGATTTAAGTACACCACCCTGTGCATTTTTTTAAAAATACCCATCATACCGATTACTCTGTCATTCCAGATCATCCAATTCTTCAAATTTTGGAGACAAGAGTCGGCGACAGGATGGCCATCGACTTCGTGAAGAGACAAAGGCAACGATTCGCCCAAACGTAAAGCCGTGATCGCCGCGAACGAAAGGATTGTTCGTAGCGATCGCGGGTGATTGGATCCTACTCTTCGATGGGGAGAAACGAGGGCGAATGGACAGAAAACGAAATCCATTCCCTTACAGAAAAGCTCGCCGATCCCCCAATTTCTTCTGAAATGCTCGCCGGATTTTTCTCACGGGAGATCTTCCTTTCTCGTCTGTGTAAATCGTGTTGAATGTAATAGGTGTTGGTAAACTAAAGAAAACTAAAAGCAGAATACATGTTTAAAAATAAAAAAAAAACAAAACAGATTCAGGGAGGCTAAAACGAAATCAAACGAGAACGAAAAAGAAAAAAAGGAAACATATATCCAAAGCTATTTTTGTGTCAAGAACGAACCAAAGAACCGCGGGGGGGAAATAGAGGAGCGATGTTCCAGTCAGTCGATGTGATGTATCTAAGGATAAATGTTTTAAAAGGAATAATAAAAAAAAATACTATAAAAAACGATGAAATCGTCGAGACCGTCGAAACTTGAAGCAATGCTAAACGGTCGTGACATACGAACACGCCCACGGGAAATCATAATTCTTTGGAAAACGAGAACGAAAGTAACGTTTAACACACACACATACACACAGTGGATCATTGAATCTCGAAACGTCCATCGATTGCATGCCGAAGTGAAACGAGATCATCGCCGATTCGCATCGCTTCGACGGATACAGATCAACTCAGCAGAGTCAATATACGATATTTTTCTTATTTCTCATTGGCTAACAGTCTATTTCTATCTTTTCACCGTCGTCTGTCACTTCTTCGATCACGATCGAACTATTCTATCACACGCGAGCCCTTTCGCCATCTGCACGACGGATTTCGATCGACGTTTACGAAAAACAAAAACGCCAAAAAAAAAGAAGAAAAAATATAGAAGAAGTGAAAGGGGCGAGAATCAGAAGTCGTAAGATAAACGAGAATCTCGTTGCATGTGTACGTAAGGAGACGATCGGAAACGATCGAAGAAAACGAAAACGCAAGTGTTATAATTAATCAATACCAAGTGAGGTGTACCCTTATGTCTCTACTGCAGGTATTCGTGTTTGATTTGCTCGTACAATCTGAAGTCTTTCTAGAGCTTTTCCGATCTATCGGCACGACGATGACACGGCTTCTTCGCCCGGAAGATTTATCGGTGAACCACGCTAATCATTTCGACGGAAATTCAACGGGTACCAGACCAGGGATATTCGAGGGAATCGTCTTAAATGATCGAGAAAATTCGAAATTGAAGAAATCGGCCAAGTCGCTTCACCAAAGGGAGAAACCAAGACTGTCGTTCGCGAACATGTGTTACACAGAGGAAACAAAAATCGACATTGGCGATCACCATACCCGAATGATGAAACTTGTAGCTTCGAAATCGAACCGGAAATAAACATGACAAAAACGCACACCCGTCAATTATTCTACTGCACGATATAATGCGCGTCTTATTCACGTTTACAAGTATGTACGAAGAAAAAAAAAAGAAGAGGAACCTAAGGGTCAAGAGTTATGTAAGCTCGAATATCGAACACCCTGGAGAAAGAATACGAAATATCACGGTAATTGTTAAAAAAAAAAAAAAGAAAAACATGAAATTACAGAAGAATACGGTGATCTCTCGAAAAGTCGTCTGTCCGAATCTCGATATAATCTCGTGCATCGAATCCAATCGAACTCTATTTGCTTTTTTCAACCTTTTACAATCACCAAAACATATGTACGATCTGTCTTGTATCGTGAGACAAATAAATTAATGTAAATGTATGTCATGGTTTTTTTTCACCCTCGATAAGCCGTCACTTTCCTGTTTTTTGTATGCGATGCTTCATATTTCATTGTAGTTTGATATTAAATATTCGATACTTACTTACTAACAAATGACACAGTATTTTTAATATCTCTAAGCTTATTGTTAACTTGCTTTGCTTTTTGAAAAAAAAACATTTATTTATTTAAATTGTACAAAGTACGATTCAATATAATTATCACTAAAATTATACATTACTTTACTCCATCACCAGCATCCAATACTTATTCCTAAACAGTTCACTTCTAAAGGGGTTAATTAATGAAATGAGTCAGTTGTTATTTTAATTACATCCATAAGCAGTGGCAAAAGTTACGCGTTTCTGACTACCTACATTTCTTAAAATGCAATCAAGAATAGATACTGTTGTAATAATGTTAACGAAATGATTTAAGAATATTATATATTTTAAAGAAAAAATTAAGAATATATATATCATAATATTTTACCACTTCAATTTTATAAGACTCAATGCTACTCAGCATTTTTGCAAACCAAATTATTTTCCGAAGTAAAAGAACACGAGGAAAAAACAATTCTGTATATTTCATTTTTACTCATTTCTCAAACTCGACTGACGAAGCAAGCTGCTATTATTTGATTTATGCCGTCTGTTCCGTCCTTCAACGGAATTTTCCTGCTGTGTCCGCCTAACTTTCTCCGGGACGGACTACCTTTCTTCAATCCCTAAAATACAGTTTATTTACGGGGAACCTTCGGCTCAGCGAGACGAATTAACGGTCCTTCAACGAACGACGTGCAATCGACAAAGGATCACGTTCGTTAAGGCTTTCAATTTCGTAGAGCCGTAGCATTCTTAATTGCAATTTCTAAATTTATGATTCTTTCGAGCCGTCTTCTTTCCGGCAATAAAGCTATTTCTGCACTTTCGAATAATGCACACCTCATCGGCAGCATTTTCTTCATTTATGACAGGGTCGCATCCCTTCGGTCGCTCGTCCGGGATTTCTTGCTACCTGCGGCACTGGGTGCTACGTCACTTTTACACCCCCTTCCATCGCGTTGCTGGCCAATCAGTTTCTAGTCTTCTGTCCGTGAAACGGTATAAAAACTCGAAACTGATTCTTCTTTTAGTCATTGGTGTCTTGTGTCTTGTGTCTTGTCTTCGGTCAGTCAGGGTAAGTTAATCTCAGTCATCCTTGCTCGGTCTCTAGTCCGCGATTCTGTTTCAATAAACACGCGCTGTCCATTTCAACTAAATTTTGAATCGCAGTCAATCTGCTTCGGTTAACTTCGGTAGACTCCTTAATATTATTTATAAACTGAAAATATAAAAAAATCATACTTCTGTTCTATAGATCCCTTCGATTGATATATTTGACCAATCCGGTGGTATATATGTATGAAGATTGTAATTAGAAAATACGCGAATTAAAATTTTCAAAATAGTAGTTCGGTAGCTGACCGTTTCCTTTATGTAGAGTCCGCTATCGTACCGCAGCATTTTCTACAGAGTCGGTAATTTAGATCCCGAGGCCGGAAAACGCGTTGCATACAATATCTGTCGGGATCTCAAGTCTGTGGCGCAAATATATCTTACCGACTCGGCTAACGTCCTCTACGTTATCATTTGAGCATTGTGTTCACGCGATTATTGTTGACAGTTCTCCTCGAAGAAAGCTTGCTGCAGCTGTTACGGGAAACAAACGCTCGCTCTTGTCAGAGCTTCAGGAATTTTTGTATTCCCAAATACCACCCTTACGGGCATTCGTGGGAAACGAGTTGGAAACTGAATCGCGAAGCTGCAGTCCCAACGTCGTGTCGTTGCTAAAGGTCATTGCAAAACGGCGAAAATGAGGTATGTATATCTATGAATATGAAATTTACTTTCTTCGTTCCCGCGTCTCTGCGTGTCGTTACATTCGAATCGTTGTTGTACATGAAAATGTTTACGACATAGGTTGACCGACGTTTATTTTTGGCAAACTGCCAATCGTTCAATTTACCTGAGCATCGAAGAAGCAACAGTATTGAATAGGTAGAGGGAGAAAGAGGCGGGAATCAGACAGCATTCCATTAACAGTCATGCATGAACCGCCATCTTTTCCACTGACAATTTCTCTTTAATTTAAAGTAGCCTTCGTATGATTATTTTATTTCGCATTCGTTGAATCGGCGAACGCATTTAGTAGCGATTTAGAAAATTTCAGATTTTCTGTAATAATATTCGCGTCGATATACCCGATTGATAGCGTTAACAGAAGCTGTTTTTATGAGGATATCTTAATCGGTATCAGAAATTCTAGATTACAGACGCATACTACGTGGCTTCTGACAAGAGAGATAGAGCCCCTTGCGTAGCGAAATCGGATGAAACTATTTTAGCCTAATTATAAATCCATTTTCTTCTAATCCTGTTTCAAGTACTTGTTGATTGCAAAATATGTATATATNAGCCGTAGCATTCTTAATTGCAATTTCTAAATTTATGATTCTTTCGAGCCGTCTTCTTTCCGGCAATAAAGCTATTTCTGCACTTTCGAATAATGCACACCTCATCGGCAGCATTTTCTTCATTTATGACAGGGTCGCATCCCTTCGGTCGCTCGTCCGGGATTTCTTGCTACCTGCGGCACTGGGTGCTACGTCACTTTTACACCCCCTTCCATCGCGTTGCTGGCCAATCAGTTTCTAGTCTTCTGTCCGTGAAACGGTATAAAAACTCGAAACTGATTCTTCTTTTAGTCATTGGTGTCTTGTGTCTTGTGTCTTGTCTTCGGTCAGTCAGGGTAAGTTAATCTCAGTCATCCTTGCTCGGTCTCTAGTCCGCGATTCTGTTTCAATAAACACGCGCTGTCCATTTCAACTAAATTTTGAATCGCAGTCAATCTGCTTCGGTTAACTTCGGTAGACTCCTTAATATTATTTATAAACTGAAAATATAAAAAAATCATACTTCTGTTCTATAGATCCCTTCGATTGATATATTTGACCAATCCGGTGGTATATATGTATGAAGATTGTAATTAGAAAATACGCGAATTAAAATTTTCAAAATAGTAGTTCGGTAGCTGACCGTTTCCTTTATGTAGAGTCCGCTATCGTACCGCAGCATTTTCTACAGAGTCGGTAATTTAGATCCCGAGGCCGGAAAACGCGTTGCATACAATATCTGTCGGGATCTCAAGTCTGTGGCGCAAATATATCTTACCGACTCGGCTAACGTCCTCTACGTTATCATTTGAGCATTGTGTTCACGCGATTATTGTTGACAGTTCTCCTCGAAGAAAGCTTGCTGCAGCTGTTACGGGAAACAAACGCTCGCTCTTGTCAGAGCTTCAGGAATTTTTGTATTCCCAAATACCACCCTTACGGGCATTCGTGGGAAACGAGTTGGAAACTGAATCGCGAAGCTGCAGTCCCAACGTCGTGTCGTTGCTAAAGGTCATTGCAAAACGGCGAAAATGAGGTATGTATATCTATGAATATGAAATTTACTTTCTTCGTTCCCGCGTCTCTGCGTGTCGTTACATTCGAATCGTTGTTGTACATGAAAATGTTTACGACATAGGTTGACCGACGTTTATTTTTGGCAAACTGCCAATCGTTCAATTTACCTGAGCATCGAAGAAGCAACAGTATTGAATAGGTAGAGGGAGAAAGAGGCGGGAATCAGACAGCATTCCATTAACAGTCATGCATGAACCGCCATCTTTTCCACTGACAATTTCTCTTTAATTTAAAGTAGCCTTCGTATGATTATTTTATTTCGCATTCGTTGAATCGGCGAACGCATTTAGTAGCGATTTAGAAAATTTCAGATTTTCTGTAATAATATTCGCGTCGATATACCCGATTGATAGCGTTAACAGAAGCTGTTTTTATGAGGATATCTTAATCGGTATCAGAAATTCTAGATTACAGACGCATACTACGTGGCTTCTGACAAGAGAGATAGAGCCCCTTGCGTAGCGAAATCGGATGAAACTATTTTAGCCTAATTATAAATCCATTTTCTTCTAATCCTGTTTCAAGTACTTGTTGATTGCAAAATATGTATATATGGTATAACATATCATGCTATATGTAATATTATTGTTCGAAATTGTAGGTTATGTTTCTGGTTGCGTTTCAATAAAATGGTTTCTAGTTTCTTCTGTTGTATGGACTCTTGGACACCTTATAAATGAATTCTAATAAATATTTTGATTTTGTTCGCGTCCCAATTCTCTTCGCGTTTTATAAACTCTCGTAGTTAGAAAAGTTTAGTTGAATACCGACTCTCTTGTCTTCGCATATTGCGAAGATAAGTTTATTTTAACTTTTATAAGATCGTTAAATCTTAAAATAGATTCGATGAACTATATAGCTCCAACGTAGTTATAACTCGGCATTCTTACAGCGTGGAATGAATTTTCTGCATTTTAATTCTGGTGTATTATAAGTTCTTTGAATTTTTGTGATTGAAGTGGAATATTTTATTTATAGCGGAAGATCACAGATGACGGCGATGAACGGAAAAAGACCATCTTCGATCCCACCGCGACATCAGTCTGAAACTGTAGCTCAACATTTTGATCTAATTAAATATATTTATGATTGTAAGTATTATGTATCGGTGGAGTGTTTTGGATTCAATTTGTAAATAGTTTATACATTGAAATTCTATTGTTACAGCCTGGAATTCAGTGTCCAGAGAGTTAGATATGTGCCACAATCAACCACACAGTAATTCTTCTAATTATAGAAATGGGGCATCGGTTACGTATTATCAGGAACGAGAACCTAATCCGCAGTTGAAAGGTTAACAATATTTAAATTATTTATTATTTTCTAGTGTAATTATGGTTTAAATAACTTGTGTTGTTTTTGTATTGAAAGATTTTGAACCATTCAATCTTGAAGCTTGGTGGGGACAGCGAGTTGTTCAGAGTATCACTAGGAATGCGAATTCCTAGTGCCAGGCCCACCACATCGAATACAATCGAACATTCTCAAACAGACATAAGAAACAGAAAAGATAAATAAGAGCTGCCGAAGAAAACTTGTTTTCTTTTCTAGAAACAATTTATTGTATACTCAAAAAAACAATCGACAGAAGGAGGATAGCTTAGGTATAAATAAGTATCTAGCAATGAATTTTAAATCTTTTTGATAACAAAAAATATAGAATATTAGCGAAGGAACAAAGAAAATGCGAGAGTAAGAGAGCGAGAAAAAAGAGTTAGCACGCAAGAGAGAGGGAGAGAAAGGGAAAGAGCAGGGTTAAGAGTGCATACGTATTCGTATGTATATAACATTCCTCCAATCTTTTATTGTATTTTAACGTAATAGCGCGTTTTCTTGCATCCTTTTAAATATCGTGTTTTTTAAAAGTATTTTACTCCATGGTCGAATGCAAGCCATTGCCTGTTTCTGATATTGTCTTTCTAAGATTTGAGAATTAACACGTTAAATAATTAGGATTTCTAGAGCATGCTGAAAATATTTATTTTATTTGCCAAGTCAAATAAATATAATTATAAGATGTAGTTTATTACGAATCAGGTTTTCATTGTTATTTAAAGAGAATATAAATTAATTATTAATATTTTTTGTCTTTTTCTAATGTCAACTTGGATACAGAACGATCAACCGAATGTTAACGAATTGTACATGCGAACGAACTGTACCAAATGTTTAACTTCTAAAGTTTGCACATGTATGTATTTTTCCACGGATTGCATTTTGCATTTTTAATGAATTTTGCACGTACGTATCAGCAATGATGTCGCACTTCGATTTTAGCGAAATAAGTGTTTTTTGATATTGATTAAAAACTGATTCATTGACATATGTGAATATAGTAGGCTGCACTTCTATCTTTGATAAAATTCAAATAAAGCATATTCAAATTCTTATTCAAACTAGTGTGATTATTATTAAACTTTTAAATGCGGTTAAACATACAACTATGTACACATTGTGCATCGACAATGTATGCACATGGCGCGAGCATTGTTATCTTGGAAAATTTATCCGAATAACATTTTTAAACGATTGTTAACCTAACAATTAATATCTCTCTAAATGCGCGATTGTCTTTACCAGTTGCTCGTAGCGGTATTTTTTTACGTACAATTAAATAGCTAAAGTATTATTACGATTACTCAAAACCTAGCTGAATACTGTTACACGTTACGAATATCATTGTAATGTTAGGCATTTCTGCACCTCCCAGAATGATAGGTATCGCTATGCATAGAATTATCGACTCAACACCTGGATCCAATCGAACAATTCACTGTTTCCACGATAATTGTGTATCCTTGTCGATCATGGTTCGAGCTTGATCCAAAGCGTTGAATTTTAGGGTGTTGACAGTTCGTTCCAAATTGCAGAGACTCCTCTCTATCGCACGTTTTTCGCTATTGAGCATCTGTTTAATTCGAAAAATTTTTACATTTTGTACCGATCATTCTAGAGAAATTGATGTACGTTTTTAAGAGTATTATATGAAATATAAGTATCTAAACAATTATCTGTTTAACAATATTTTTATGATTAATACCATAGATGCGTTTCATACGAAAAATTAAAATGAAAACATGGAAATTATTGGATTGTTCGGAAAGTAATTTTGTTCTTTTTTTGCTTTAATTTTGCTGTCGAGTGCAGTAATCAGTAATTTAGCTATCCTAAAAACATAATTTCTTAAAAAATTATCTAATATTCTAATTTTAAATCTCACGACTGCAGTATCCTGTTAGTGATACCGAAAAAGTGTAAAGTTTAACGCAGTCTGTGGAGCTGCAAAATATTTTTTCGGTCATGCCGTTCGTAGCATCATAAAGTTCAGACTTTGCCCTTTAATTCGAGGGCTGAATTAAGTCATTACGGTTTTTTCTCACAAAGTTACAGTACTAATGCCTCTGTTGGTAAAAAAATGAAATTATTAATTTTCGAACAACTCAATATTTACAAAAGTGCTCTTGACCTTAATACATGTTGTCAAGGTCAACATTCTAAACAATTTTCACCTAACTTGTAAAGATTGCTTAGGCTGGTTGTCGAGATATTCGAAAATGTATATTTCATAAATTATACTAATAATATACGTCTTCCAAAAGTCAAATATCTAAAAAAAGCATCTTTTTTTAATATTTTAAAAATTCTTTTGGACAGCCAGATAGTTGATCTTGAATGGAGGAATTAAGGTCAACAAGAGTTTCTTAAATGAAATATCTGATTTTTATCATGCATTATATTAAAGCTGTAAGTTTTAATAACAATTGACCAGTCCATAAAATTTTTAAAAATGTTAGAACTTCTGTCTGAATCATCTTTACTTACTATCTTATATATTGTCATTGATCTGGCAATTTATATGACTGCCTGCAATATATGACTACTAATGATGGATAATAACATACACAAAGGTTCATATATGTAATACATTTTGCAGTTCATAGAAAAGATGCAAATATTTAAATACTTATGAATTGTGAATTTTATAAATACAAGATTGATGAAAATATTCAGCTGATAGTTGTTATGATTCTTTTAACAAAAATGCTTCATTACTTCATAACTTTTTATCAATTCAAATAACTTTCTCACACATTTTACAATTCAAACAATGAATTTATAGATTTGTTTACTCACCGTGTTCCCAGCGTTCAGACGTAGAAACGATTTTATTCCTACTACTGCTGTTTGCGTCGACCTGTTCGATGTTCTCAATCTTGTCGTTTGCGTACTACAGGGTATACCGGTTTGTTTGACGTTCACGGATGCGTGTATATTTTTAAAGAATATTATAATTCGTTCTAACGGTGCATTATCGTATTCGGCTTCGTTGTCGATGAATTCCATTCGAACGATTTTCTCAGTATCATCTAATATAACCGGACATTTCAGTTTAATTTCCCTATTGATCGACAATTTGAAAATGTATTCTTCGTATGACTGGCCATTTGAATGCGATTGTATGCAGAATACACGATCGCACGCGTTCATCGGTTTATATTCGCCAGTAAATTCATTATTTTCAGCTTTTGCCATTGTTGATTTCTGTAAATTTTCACTTTCGGTATGGTTCTCGGCAATCGCGAACCTTCTCAGAGAGTTTTCATTACAGCTTTTTGAATTCGTTTCCATTTCATGAGAAGTGGAACAATTCTCATGTTCAGATTCTCTTTCTGGGATTTCGTTACACAATTCTTGTTGCGCCTGCAACTATTTGAACGGTTTTACATGATCAGGTGAAGTTTATGTTGTATGAGTCACAATTTCGTATCCATAAAATGCACTTGGACCTAAGTCATATTTATTTATTTAATAACAAACTTAAAAGTCGCGATAAAACGTTTAAAACCTTAGAAGTTCTCGTAAAAAGGTTAAATGCAGGACATTTACATTTGAACGTAAATATTTAAATACTTCTGTTATTCACAATTCTATAAGAAAACACCAGATGAGGCAAACGTAATGGTGCCGAAAATGGTATTTGTAAAAAAAAAACAAATCCAACGATATGTATCAAATTGAATTTTAGTAAAAAAGATAAGTCACGAGCACGAGACTGAAGTTTTACACCTCCGAATTTTTAAATTACGCACTACGAAGAACGACAATGTATTTTAGTCTGTGACTAATCTCAAACTGTCGCGAGATCGTTTTGGAATGTAATATTATACCAGAACTGCATATCTCACAGCTCTTATCTTCGAAAAACAGTAGTAGGGGAGACCGATCACGATTCTAACACGTTAAATATCTCAGAGATCTCAGATATACATTGTATAATGTAAAATAACATTTGGAACACACTCGTTTATGATATTTAGGTAAATACAAAATATGAATCTGTATAAGGAAGCAAATAACTTTTCGGTACTTAAAAGCTAACTTTCCTTGCCGCTTTAAACCTGTGATACAAGTTCTTTCTTAGCAAATATATAGGTAAGTACTTACAGTAATTATCGTTGTAAATACGAGTTTTAAAATTAAAGTGTTGCAAATGTCATCGGTCTACCCTATTCGGTTCGACCCGCATAACCGATTTTGTACGACATTCCCCTATATGGTATTATATCAGTAAAAATAGTGTGCGCAAAAGTAAACAAACCCGTATTTTCTAATATTTGTCCTTGCTGTCTTATAAAATTAGCAAAAGTCAAAGAACAGTGCATTATTTTATAAACTCCTATTCCTTTGTTAGTTGTTCTGTTTCTTTTTACTTGAACGTGTTAATTTCACTAATTCAGATTATTTTCAAAATATATCTCGCGGCAGAATGTTTATTGCAAATAGTGTTATACCGTTTCGAAGCAGTGTATATATCGTAATCACTATAAATAGTTCTTTATTGAAAATAGAGACTAAAATGAAAAAAATGTTATATCTGGATATTAATTCTGAGTGGAGCTGGATTATTATTTACGATGGCGTTTATAAATGTAAGGAAAAGCTAACCTTTTTCTTGAGACACTTCACGACCTCTTTCAAAACAGCATTCTGCTTTTGTAACAATACCAGTCCTGTTTGATCCGTCCGATCTTGTATGGTCCAAGTGAGGTGTCTCAGGCTCTTCATACTTCCTTCGAATAAGTTTCCTGGTTCGGTCAAGTTCTTCAAAGCTATTCCAAGAGGATACATTTGCCTTACATGAAGGAATCTGAAAGTGGCGGATAATACTTACCTTCTGCCACAAGTTGACAGACAGAGCTGACATCCACGTCGAAACGGTTTAAAGTTTCAAGTAGGTTAGCTAGCTCGAAAGTACGGTTTTCGTGCTCGCGTCGACAGCTTTGATACGTCCCCATCTCTTCCTCTAGTCGGATCACCTTATTGAGAAGATGAAAGTTTAATCTCACCGACCAAAATTGCGTTACAAGATACAATAACGAAGTACATGCTGCTACATGGAAAAATAGATCCAGCTACGTTTATTATAACTGCGTACCCTGCAGAACTTTGTGGGATTATAGTTTGAGGAAATTGTTAGAAATCTGTATAAATTTACATAGAATTTTATGAAAAATACAATCGCGGAGGAAATTGAATTTTAGTTTAGTACCAAAGTGTAATTGGTTTTCCTTAACGAACGCGCAACATCTATTAAAAATTCAGCGTGAGAAAGTTTCGTATAATAGAACCTATTAATTATTATATATTATATACTATTCGACAATCTACTTATTTTAGGAAAATATTTTAATTTTATTTTCTCTTTTAAAAATTGATATACGCGATACATATATGTATAAAGATGCTACTCGTATTTCTTCTGTGTTTTAATCTCATTAAAACTAATTATCAGAAACAACATACAAGGAACAAAATTTTCGTATTTGCTGTTCTCGAAAAAGTGATCTGACTTTTTATACGATAAAGATGCTTTGTACATTAATTATTGACTGTTTGTCCACAAATTTGAGCATACCAGGTGCATGGAATGTCAACTTTGAACGTAAATCGACCTGAAATCAATGAAAGCAGAAATACAAATGTGTATGCTGTTTGAATCCATAAAACCAATCGTTTGTTCGAATGTACCAGCCTTCTTTCAAACATGACTATTGTGACCTCGATTGGAAAATGAATGCCTCTACGTTTTCCTGGCGAGTGTTGCGCGACAGTGACTAAAACGCGTGAAGGGGACATAAAATAAAATTTAGTGAGAAAAATATTTCCAATACTATTCATTTAATATCAAATTTAGGGAAGACAGTACTTGGAACAAGAAGCCAGGCAAAGAAATTCTCTCGATGAAAGTTCTTTCATCAATATCATTGAGGAATCAGTAATGTAAATAATTATATTCCACGTGTGCATTTACAAAATGCATTTATGCAAGCAAGAACAGTAACTCAAAGCGAAAGTCATGCATTGACAATGTGTGTTAAATTTTATATTCTAATTATACAATAATTATAGCCAAATATCGGAAAAATATCGATATTTAGAAAAATACGATAAAAATAATACTAACGTCAATGACGTCTGATCTTTAATTTTAAATTTTGCATTTTTCATATCACATTCGAACTTACGGCCAACCAAAATATAAAAGTGTCGATTTCATAATGAAGCTCGATACGAATTTATGAATTATGACGAACTTTTTGAGCGAAGATACCACCGTGGGTCGTTGCAAAGTGCTCGTTGTAGCGTCACATATTCCAGACAAGCGGGGCAACGTTCCGAAACTTGACCACCAACCACCTCAGAGGCTGATGAATTTCAGCGACAGGCCATTAACGCTTTAACAGCCTTCATCGCGACACCTTTACTTTCCTCAATCTAAGGTTTGCATCGGACCAAGGACGATGGCACGTAGTACTGCGTCCAGAAGACGAGGTCAAGCTAGATCTGGATCCCGTTAATGCCCGACGGTCATAAAACTTTCGCGTTAACTTCGTTTTACGCGGATGGCGTTCTGTTAGAAAATTGCCGCAAGCACAGGAGGACATCGCGGGCCGAGCGAAGAAAGGGAAAAAGAAGAAAGATGAGATCGATACGAAGAAACGTGGATGGGGTAAGAGAAAAGTTCAGGGATTAGTGAGACACCTCCCCCAATTAATCACGCGGAACAGTCGAGACTTCTGTTCGCCTAGCTGCTTTGCAAATGGAACGACCGATCTGCATCAAGCACGAAGCGAACTTTATCGAAGTCGCGGGAAGTTCGGTAGGTCAACCGCCGTAGCTTATGTTAATTTATATTTAAAGAAACTCTGTAAATTTAAAGAAGTATCCAATTCTAGCACATTTATTTTTCAATGAAGATATTAATAAATATTTACTTAATATTATCTCGAACATTTATTTAACATTCATCGATTTCAAAAAGCATCGCTCCAAAATTTCCTGTAAAGAATAAAAACTACCTTCGTGATACTTCATTTACCATATAAGCTGTTTAACTGGCTTTTCAATAAATGAGCAACATTTAAGAAAAGCTCGATAATTCTCTTTTATATAATAATTTCGGAAGAGATTCTTACATCGTTAACAAATAGTTTGTTGGCTTGTAAGAGTTGTCGTTTTCTAGCAATTTTGTAAGAAATTGTCAACCGTTGATCTTGAATACGAAGAAGATTATTATAACACCGCAGGTAAATAGAGAGAGTATTAAAATATAAGAAAACTTATATTCTTTATCGCAATAAGATCGAAGAGCTCTTACAAAACATAATTTTTCAGCTATTTAATACAACAGTGTTCGCAAATTAAAATGGAAAACTCCCTTATTAGATGCGTGATTACACATTAAATGCAAGTTCCAGGGTTAATGAAGGAATCGCAAACAGGCGGGAAGGGGTAGGAAGCGCGACAATGAAAACCGTGGGGCAGACACGTGAAAGTGTACATCCGAGTTCGCCCGGAATTTCGCCTGAACGCTGAATATGCAAGAGGCAACGAAAAGGTGACAAGTTCGATTTCGCGTATCTGAAAAGCGACATTTTCAAAGGCTGCACTTTTTACGAGGCATTGTCTGTAAAAAAAGCTGGCTACAACGTCAGAGTGAATGCATATCAATTAAAAAAGTGCTTTGATGTTGGTTTACGATGCATGTAGGCACCGGTATTGCGTTCGAAACTTTTTGAGCCGCCATCATGATACTACCGAAGAAATTTCATATATCTTTTGTATTTACTGGTCTAGATACAATGAAACGAGGCAATGATCGGAAACAAATGTTTCTCACCAGAAATGTGAACACGTAAGATCTGTAAGAACATATATGTACTATGGAAATGTATGTAATTTTGTCCCTATAGAAGTAATTACTACATGTAATAGCTTCAAGTACTTTAACCTGTACATGATATTTTTGCTGCATCTAGGGCAGTAAAGGCACAGGATTTAATAAAGCTTTTAATGTACCTTCTCTCTAGTTCCATTGTACAGCTCGATTAGTTCATGAAATTGTTTCTCTGCAGTTTCTCGTGATATCTTCAAAATATCTTCGCATTCCTGTTTCACCGAAGCTATCGTGTCCTCGTATTTAATTTTGTTTCTAGAAATAAATTGAAATAATAATCTCGACACTCTTTTAAGGTAATCGTAAATTTTACGGTTTCATTCAACGTAATCCGAACGCGTTTAATATCATTTCTGCTATCTTTGATCTTCGAAAATGACAATTAAGCGCGAAATTATTGCGTAACAATAGCACTAAATAATATCCATTGATCGTGTTCATGTTGTTTGAGTTTATTGTAAAGTTACGAGGCTATACACTTTTTTGTATTCAATTGTAAATTGAATATACTCTGTTATTCTTCTCGCAACTATTTGCTTCTCCCGTATTTGTCCTAATACACGGCAATTTATGTTTAATTTTCAATTCCGTTTGACATATCTGACCTGTTCGATGCATTCTCACGTTTAATACATTTCTGGCATTCACGTGCAATTGATGGAAAGATCATTTGATACCACTCCGTAACACGTATCGATTATTTGTTCAATTATTAGACATTTGGACGTTCCACTCCGCCGCCATTGCAGCCGTTATACCATTAGAGTGGGCGAAATAGGACATGTGAAATATACTTTTCGGTATGCCGAAAGATTTTCGGTAACGAAAGGTACGTGTTGTATAAATTTGCATGGTTAATGCACTTGTCTGAATTAGGAAGAGAGTTCTCTTTCAGAATTATTTTAATAAATAGGGTGTGGATTTTTATACAAAACAAAAATTTTCTCATTTAATTGCAAGAAACAGAAGTGAAATAAAAGCTTGTTTCATCTGTTCATTATTTCAATACATACATTCTAATGTCTTACAAAATAAAATTTTCATTATCGATAATGGTTATTCGTAACCGATATATTAATTCTGGCTCTCCGTAATGATTATTCCTAATTAAGAACTGTTTTCATCAATTATGTTGGTTATCTGGAATTAATTAACATCCTCGTCACTGATAATTGTTATTTGTAACGAAAAAACAATTTCTGAACGATCATTGGTAGAGCAAAAATTATTTCCGTCATTTATAACGGTTATTGGTAACCAAAATTATTTCAAGCAACTTTTAATAGTTGTACTTCAATTTTATCTCTTTTTGGTTCTGGTCTCTGCTATTTATGCATATAATGAAGAAGGAATTCATTCATTTTGATCGCTCGATACTTCTAGTATTATGGATGTAGTGGGAAATGGGGTAACCCCTATCTTCATTCAAACGGTGGTTTTACCCCAGAGAGCCGAAAAAGGGCCAAAACATGCTCGATACTTTTCTTTGGATCTCCTACAAACCTGCCACGTTTAAAATAAATTGGAACTTTCTGGTTACCGAAATTCCCTTGTTAGCATTTTCGTTTCTTTGGAAATGAGGAGACCGTATCATGGTATTCGTTCATATTAGGCACATTTGTATTCTACGCGTCTTCCTCGTCTCTTTCACCGGGACATAGTACTTAGGGGATCACCCTAATTTGATCTTTTGATTACAACACAATGTTACTCAAGTTTTTTAAAGAATAATATCGAGTATCTTAATTCCAAACTCGACAAGCTTCTCAAAGAACATTCGAGAAATGTGCTGAAATTTGTTCAACCAATAATTGTAATCTTCTTCAGGGTAGTAAAAGCATTTAAAAGAATACGTTCATTTGAACTTCATAGAAATGCTATTTACTCAAAATGTTGAAAAATATGACCCTGCGAAATATCGTCTCTATAGCATGGCTCGGAATTAACCAGCACGCAACATAACGATCGCGAGGGCTACGCCTCCAGAGTCCAGTCGCGCGTATTGTTCCCCGATGACCGTTTAAATGCTACACATACACACCTATAAAGCAACTGGCACACACGCCTTAGGTGATCCGTCCATGAAAACTTCAACAAACTGTGTAATTTTATTTTATTTTAATGCTTTTGTTATTTCATATTCAAAGTGCTTTATCATTTGTTCCACACAAAATTTCATTTTGTTTTTGTATAAATAACAAGTGGATCGAACGATCTATTTAATTTCTTCACATATTACCTCAAAACTATTACCTTATTTTATTGTGTATTCATTTTCCATATATACTATATGTATGTACAAAGAGGCGTTCGTACCCAAAAATCTTGAGGCGTTTTATCATTTCGCCCAGCAGTGTAAAAGTATGTTTGCACATACGATGTTTCCGTAGGCTCTTTCCTGCACATGTATAAATTATTTCTTACATTCTACAATTTTTCGATTGCGACGATGATTATTAATCGATAATATGGTTCTGTATTAGGGCAAGCTAAACTTATTCGCGATTAGTGCTCGGACACGTGTCCGTAATGAACTTGCAATTTCTCGATGTTCCTGCATCGTCCATCGGCTATGTACAGTACACAGGAAATTTGCATCTTGCACTTGCCCGAGGCAGATCATGTTTGCAACAACATGGAAGGCCTGTGACGGGTTTGTTTAACGGTGGAGAGACAGCGAACTCGAAGGAGTACAAACAATTTCCTTATTGCAGTTTTAGTCGAACCGTGACGGCTATCCGCGACAAGAAATCATGAAATTTTATCGCACGTTTAGGTAGGTTTAGTGTTAATGAAAACAAGAAAATTCACTCCAAGTGTAATACTAATTGCAAGCTTGAAACGTTTAATGGTTAAAATTCGCTCGTCGTGTTAAATAATCGTAGAACGCGCGACAAACTCGAGTCGTTTACTTTCACCAGTGGTCCTTTAAAGGTGGGTACACCGCGTTTCAATTCGCCCATTCTCAGAGTTTGCTATTTTTCCAATTCGGAGCTGTTTACCAAACAGCACAGCAATCAAGAAAGTTCGCGGCAAAGTCAATATGGTTTGCAAGGAAATAAACTCCTTTTAATTCAAATTTAACTTGCCGAACGGCGCAAGCAATCGCGTCCGCATGGTTCACTTGTAAACCGGCAAGGAAGTTCTACGATCGCTTATCGGACGAAAGCTAGATCTGTTTTGATCGATGATCTAATCAAGTTCCCGACAATTACGAGGCGAAACGGTTAATTACGGCGTCGAAGACGACAACGAACATCGCGTTTTCAATCACGGTGAATTCAGTCGACTACGTTTCCAATTCGCGATTATTAACTACGGATTTTTTGTTCTTCAATACGGAGCTGCGAAAATTCGTGCAGAATTTTGTAACGACACACCGTGTCGAATAACGAGTGAATGTACTCATCAGGATGGCAACTCGATTACATTCGTTATTTGAAAATCAATACGAAAGCTACGTTCATCAGCGCGATTGTTGTCACGACGAGCGGTGAAACAAGCATCTCCATGCATGCGGAAGGCGGTTCTACGTAGCCAAAGGCATAAATGCGCGAACACTGAATACATAACCGTATAAACACTTGGGGACAAGTAGAACACAAGAAACTGCAGAATGAATTGCGAAAATGTATGCGTCTTGCAGGCGCGAACGTAACAAGTCAAAGTTCCCGCTTTGCTTAATCCAGGAACTACCTACAGCGTAACGATGACTGGTATGATTTTCTTAAAATTCAGAATTTTCGAATTAAAATGCTTTTATTACAAGTAGATACGCGTTTAACCCTTTGCACTCGAAAATAATTTTTCTTTCCACTCGAGTGCAAAGGGTTAATACGTAACAAAGAAGTGTCGATGCGACACTCGGGAACGAAAACAAGATACAATCTCGTATTAGGAGAGCTACTCGTACTACGGCACTTTATCCTAACTATCGTAATCGATACAAAAAGGTCGTTTTATAATAATCATCGTATTGATTCAAATGGTTTCAACGTAGAAGCTAATAATTATTTTAGACAGATATTTATTCGAAACGATTCGAGTAATTCCAAACGCTGTGCACGATATCACCACTTATATTCGAGGCTTTACGATCAACCCGGTAAAATAAACCATGAACGAAAACCATACGGAAAAAGTAATTATAGATACATGTGGAGCAAAGCGTGAAACATCCTGAACTTCCCCAAAGCTGTGGTAATCCTCTTACAGGCTCAGTGACTCCGGTACGAATTCAGCGATTTTAACGCCGCATTTCCATAAATACCAAATTGCAACAGTGATGTACCCTTTCTTTCATTAACGACGAATTTTATACGAGCCTGTTTTGTTTTCGCCGGATCTAGATCAGCTTGTATATATGCAGAATTTAATCCGGGAACATGCTCCCAGTCGTATTGCCGCTTTCAGGATGTCGCTTCCCGGATGTTTTCCAAATAGTCTCTTCCAGTTTTTACAATATTTGCATATCGTATAAAATTCAATAAAATATTTTGTAGGAATTTTCTTAACGACCGTTATCCATATTTGAAGGTGGCAAACGTCTTGTTACGGTTATATAATAAAATAAAGACCTGAAAATGACTCGCGCCAACACATTTAAAGTCTCGATAAAGCAGCGTTAACACAATATTATGTTAATGCAATTTTGATTTCATCCGAAATTGAAGTTGATCCGTAGGGTATTATGATTGTCGGTGATTTTGCATTTCAAATTCGATCAAAGCACGAGTTTAATAATCGCGCTTTTAATTTCGTGCTTGCGTCACGGGTGGTCAGGCAGCAAGCAATTAATAAACTGGAACAGCTTCACCGTGGAAGACGACCGTTATATTAGAATCGTACGATTTCCGGGTCGGGAATATAAATTCATTTATCTCTGGCATGTATTAGCATAAGGAGCAACGGCGCTGTGTAAACGCTGAAATTCGGCTGGAACTTTGCTAGATTTATGGTCCCGTGGAACTTTTTGAAAACAACTTTTCCCGCCTTTCCCGTTGTTGTCCGCCACCTTCGACTTTTCTCGGGAGTCGAATTTTTAAAACTTTCTCCGTGCAGCTTCTGCAACCACCTCGCTACGTCTTCACGGTCATTTTTCGTTATACATATGTAGCATATAACTTTGTTAGCACGAATAACGGCTTCGACCTGCTTCGTCAGCACTTCTATACACGGCAAATTTCAAATTAGTACTACATATTTGGCATAAACATAACATAACATAATCAAGTATAACGTCATGTCAATCAACC